GCAGATAGTAACTATGTAATTGGGGACTGGTGAGAGGTTACCAGAAACTCTGCTCTAGGTGTAGTCTATGTTGTGCTGTAGCTGTACTTGGGTAGGAATTGATTCAAACTGAGATCTAAAGCAGATTTGTTTGGTTTGGTTTGGTGTTTTGTTCGGGTTTTTGGTTTTTTTTGTTGTTGGGTGGTTTTTGTTGTTGTTTTTTTTTTTTTTTTTTTTTTGAGGTTGACACCATGAGCTTTGATTTTTGTATTACTTCTCTGTGTCTGGAATGGGGAGCCTGTGGTGGGGGAGCCTCATGGAGGATCCGTTTCATGGTGTCAAAGCAGCACCAGCTGGATGGTTCCAGACATTTTAAATGTGTTTGTGGCTGCTGGTCCACAACAGAGCCAGACACCACCAGGCAGAGCGTGACTCCATTCCGTTGAAGTTGTCCATAGCCGTGAGATTGTTTGGAATGCAATGTGCAGTCTTCAGTGGGGGTAATTTAAGCTGAGAGGCAGCTCTCCATCTTCAGCTATTCTGAGGGCTGCTCAGGTACAGCCACAGTGTGGAGTTGGAAGCTTGAGTGGTTTGGGGTGAAACCTGCTGCCCTCGGTGAAAGTGTGAAATTATGGAGCTTCTCCTGGACACCTGCAGAGGGGAACAGAGGAGAGATTGGATGGCCAAGTAGCTCTGTGAATAGAACTACAGCCAGATCCTCAGAAAGGGGAATTCTCCTGACTTGCTAGCCCAGCTCTTTCCAGAGAAGTGTGACTGTACCAGGTAATCAGTCACCCGCAGAACTGCTTTGAATTCTGCAGCTTGAAGGGCAGCAGGGCTGAGCACAACCACATCAGTGGGGGAAGTATTTGAGATTGCTCTGCAATTGTTAGGGAGTGGGTGGTACAACAGTGCTAGTATCGTGTGTTTGGAGATAAGCTTTAGGATTGTGGAATATCATACCCTGCTGCTGAATTTCCTGTATGGAATGACTTGCTTTGTGTGGATTTCAGGGTGTCACACTCCTCCAGCTGTTGCCTTCCTTTCATATGCCTGAACGCCCAGCACCTCCTATTCAACAGTGACAAAGCTACAGTAATTCTAGGTCATTAAATCTGCCTGTTTGCTTCCAGGAGCTCCTAACACCGCAGAATTGAGAATTTGTCGTGTGAACAAGAACTGTGGAAGCGTCAAAGGAGGAGACGAAATATTTCTGCTGTGTGACAAAGTTCAGAAAGGTAACCTGGATTAGCTTCATTCTCTCCCTTTTTCCCAAATGGACACATTCCATGACCATTGTCCTGCTGGGGGGCTGAAACCCTTCACCACACACCTCAGAGTGGTTTGGTTTTGGAGCTGGGTAGAACAGCCTCCACATTCATGGGATCTCAGCACCTCTTGTGCCTTTAAAGTACAGTAATTTACTTTGCAACTGAATCCTGAGTCAGGCTCCTCACTTTGCTCCTCCCTCCTTTTTTTCTGCTCCAAGTTCTCAGTTTTCCAGCTTGACAAGAATCTTCTGTTTCTCATGGCCTAGATGACATAGAAGTCAGGTTTGTCCTGGACAACTGGGAGGCCAAGGGCTCCTTCTCCCAAGCCGACGTTCACCGCCAGGTCGCCATCGTGTTCAGGACGCCGCCGTTCCTCAGGGACATCTCTGAGCCCGTGACGGTGAAGATGCAGCTGCGGAGGCCCTCAGACCAGGAAGTCAGTGAACCCATGGATTTCAGATACCTGCCAGATGAAAAGGGTATGGTTGCAACAAGATAAGCTTCTGAACAGCCATGGTCAATGCAGGACTCATGGTAGTGGCTTAATTAATAAGAAATCCACAGCACTGCTTTGGCAAAATAGAGGTTTGGGTTTTGAAAGTTAGAGCAGTCAGTTTATTCCCTCTTTCAGTGAAAATACTGGAATTATTGTTGGGTAACACTGGTATGGTTTGTTAGTGCTGCCATGCCTGCAATGTTTTCCTTTAAATAATTCCTACTACAACTTGGTGCCACTAGGGAGTTCCTTTAGGCCTTCATTAAAGAGAAATGCAACACTTTCCCCTTCCACTCCTTTCTCTGTAGATCCATATGGCAACAAAGCAAAAAGGCAAAGATCAACGTTGGCTTGGCAGAAGTTCATGCAGGACTGTGGTAAGGAGAATATTTGTTTTCTTCATCTTGTTTGAGTGAACTTATATTTAGATGGAGCTGTTTCCTCTACATGCTGCACACTCATGTTGTGTTCCATCACAGGATCAAGCACGATGGAGAGGCCCAAAGTAGCCCCATTCCCTGTTGTCACTCCTGAAGGGAAGGCGATTAAGAAAGGTAGGTTTTTGCCTGCAGTCTGATGGTGGTTTAAACAGGTAGTGCCCTCCTCTTTGCTTGAAATTCTAATCTCTTGAGGGTTTCTTCCTGGAAGATAGTGATCCTTCTGACTATACAAACTTAAAAGCTATCAGTTCTTTGTTTCACCCTCAGTATGGGCCATAGAGGGGTGAGATAGGCAGCTCTCTTGATAATGTCCAGAACTCTGGCGTCCATTCTGGAGAGCAGCGAATAAGTAGATGGTGGAAATAGTTGTACAATCTTGCTGTCTTTCCTTTGCTTTTTACCATCTGTAATTTGAAAAAAACCCTAAAAGGTGGCATTCTCTCCATAGAACCAAACATGATTTCATCCACGCTGATGATGCCACCAGGGTTAGGAGCCCTGTCCAACACGAGCCAGCTGTACCCCAGCTGCTCGCAGCTGGCGGCGGGCCCAGGCAAGCAGGATTTGCTGTCCCAGCTCTGGCTGCTCGGCTCCCACCCGCACAACAGCTTCTCCACGGAGCCCCAGGGCAGCAGCTCCCTCCCGGCCTTCCCCGACAGCACGCTGGCCTGGCCCGACGAGAAGGATTCAGGCTTCTTCCGGACCTACGGCAGCACCAACGGGCTGGGAGCCATGGTGGTGCCGGCCCCCGAGCTGCAAAGTGTCCCCGGCAGCAGTGCCTCCAGCGCTGGCATGCTGGGCATGGACACGGATGACATGAGCTGTGGCAGCATCAGCCTGGAGAAGTTCAGCGCCGTGCTGGGCGCGGGCAGCCACCAGCAGCTGCAGCTGCCCCCAGCCGGGGCCCACGCAGGCAGCGGAGCCACCGCGTTCCCCTCGCAGCCCGGCCTGGCCGACCCCGGCTACGGCTTCATGGACGCGGAGGTGCTGAGCGAGCCCAGACTGTCCAGCGGCCACCAGGGCGGCCTGGCCGACGGCCAGTTCTATGACACCGACAGTGTCCACGCTGATGAGCTCTATCAGTCCTTCCCCTTCGATAACATTTTACAGAGCTATAACCCGTGAGCCAGCGCTGGCTACGTAGAGCTCTCCAGGTGCTGCTGCGTGGAGAGGAGTAATTTACCCTTCTGGAGTCCCTGCTTTCTCTTTCAGAATGTTGCTGTGCAAGTTTCACGATATAACTTAAAGGTTATTTATTGCAGTCCACAGTGGTGCCCATAAAGAGGGAGGTGGGAGTAGGGTTTGGGGTTTCTGTACCTTAAAAGTACCTTGTAGATGTATTTTTGTGTATTTTTGTTGGAAGTGGGAACTGTTAACACTTAAAGCTTCCTTACCTTTGGGGACTGTAAAAGCTGGCATCTTCAGAAGGGTTAAAATTTCAAATACTTCACAGGGTTGAAGTTGTTTTAAAATAGCCATTTTTGCTATAGAAATTAAATTTAAATTTTGATAGGACAGAAATTAGGAAAAAAACCCTGCACGTGAGCATTCTAATTCAGTCTCATTTAATGAATGACATCTGAGTTCTGCTCAACTTACTTGAAACGTTTAGGTTTCTAACCCCCTTTCTATAAATATTCTTCTCCTAAAATGAGAATGTGTATTGATTTTCCACACTGTCACCACACTCTGTTTGCTTTGAAGGCAAATTTACTCATAAATTTTTTTTAATGACTATGTCATTGTTAGATATATTTAAAAAGACCGGAAGGTTTGAGTTTTTAAATAGTCCACCTCTGTTGTAAAGGAAATCACTGCACAAGAGAAGGAACAGAAAGTGAGGACTTGTCTGCACTTCGTCCAGAGTGCACTATTTTATAAGGCATGCCCTGTTGCTTTAGGAATGAAGCTGTTATTGCCCTGCAAGTTGTGTGTGTGTGTAGCTGCCATGCGAGTGAGATTTGGAAAGGCAGGAATCTCTGGAGCCGAAGTATCCACTTACTCTTTCCTCAGGTACCCTGGCAGTTTCCTGCTATGCAAGTGACTGCTTCAAAGAAGGCTCAGATCCTGCCTCCCCAGCACCACCCCCTCCAGGAGGGCAAAGCCAGAGGCTGCCTTGGTGCAGCCTCACCTCTATTAACAACTTTTAAAGGCATTTCAGTCTGTACTAATTAAAACCACTCCTCTATCCTCTGTATCAGGAACCAGAACTTCTTCCCTCCCACTTGATTCCCAGTCTTCTCTCAGCCTGAGCAGAAATTGTTCCTGACACCTCCAGCTGGAGGTAACTGGCTGGGTAAAATACTCTGGCCTTGGATACTTTATTATACTGTTACTTTTTAAGAAGCAACACAGAGAAATGTCTGAGTATTTCTTAAGGGACACAGCTGCTTTTTAGGGCAGGTAAGGGTCTCCATTGTTACCTTTTGGTGACGTAAAACTGCACAATGAAAGCAGCAACAAAAAAAGCAATGACATGTCCAAAACCCACCCCCCAAATCAAAAAAGTCACTTGAGATATGGAATTGTACACAAAGAAAGGTGCTCCAGAACCCTTCTATGGCTTACAGGAAAGCAGGGATGCCTTCCCTGCAGGAATCCATTGCATTGGGAGCACTCTGGCGCTGCAGCTGGAATTCCATCAGTCAGGTGAACTTTGGAAACAGCTTCCCCTAACTCCAGGTGCACAACAAACTGAATTGACTCTCCCTGTTTTAAAGCAGTTTTTTCTCACTTCTGCACCTCTCCTCCACACTCCTAAGCAATGGAAAGACGAAAGAAAAAGACAAAAGATGGAAGAAATACACAGAAAGCTTGAATCATGTTGTTTATTCAGTTCTTTCATTTTTTTTGAAGTTCTCAGTTTTAAGTATATTAAATGTAAACATTTTACTCACATCATAGAAAGCTCTTTGTAATACAATTTGTTTTTAGTGTATAATTAAATATTTTCAAAGTTCTGTTTTCCTTTGTAAACGAGTTGGTTTGGTAATTAAAAAAAAACTGGTTATACCAAGTGCTCAGCTTCTGCAACCTCCTCAGCTTCGTGACATCCCTCACCACGGGAAAGGCAGGGAAGAGGGACAAGGTACGTTCTTGGTTGCTTATCCTGGCGTTTTTTGGGGTATTTTCTGCTCCTTGTTGCTGGTGGCCACTATAAAACCTCAGGCATGTGAGGGCTGATCTGCCTCAGCAGGTTTTGTGGCAGAGCTGTTGGGTTTTTAGGCAGAGGGGAAGGGGGCACAGATGCTTTTGGCTGAGCTGTGCTGCCAGTACAGCTCTCTCCAGGCCCAGCTGAGCTGATGTAAAACCAAAATGCAGGGGGGGAGGCATCAGAGATGTCCAGCTGGGGAAATAGAAGATGAAATCTGGCTCTCACAAAAAACCCAGTTTGAGCACTCACAAAAATACTCCTAAAACTCAGCTGAAAACTCAGCCAAGTATGACGTGAATATTATTGCTGCAATATTCAGTACATGATGGTTGTGAAACTGGACTGGAAACAAAGTTCAGACCCCCAGATTACATTTCTCAGTTTCACTTTTGCCCGTGATTGGTGCCCAGGAACTGCCTCAAGAGCTCAGGGATATTTGCATATCAGCTTCCACCTCCCCCCTCCCCCGCCCCCCCGTTTGGAAACTTCAGATTTGCCGTAGAAATAAATAGCCTGATAATTTTGGGAAGAGCTCTCTGCCTTGCCCAGAGAAGAGCTCAGACCCTGCACACTGAGGGTCACCTTTATGGCCTTGTTTATCCTGGATTCTGCCTGGGATCCCCACATGCAGCAGGAGTTGCAGAGGGAAGAGCTTTGTGTGTCCTTAGCACTACTGCAGCAGGCCTTTCCCTCTCCCCCTTCTGGCTCCATTTCCCATTGGAACAGCTCTTCCCATGCCTGTCGTGTCCAGGGAACACAATCTTGTTTGCATTTTTTCTATCCCTTGTAGATTATGGAATTTATAAATAATATTTTAGCTCACTTGGAGTTTTAAGAAATCACACAGATATGAAATTCTCTTTTGTTTTCTGAATTCAGTTTCTTTAGTTTTCCATCATTAATGACATTTCCTTCCTAGCTGCAGATTATTATCTGAGAACTACTCATGGAATCTGTTGCTCATAAGAGCTTTAATATTAAAACCAAAAATAGTACTTCTGTCTGAATCAAATTTTTGTGTTAGAAAAACAGTAGCTTCTGAATTACTTACATTACAGACACAAGTTCTGACAGCCCAGCACAGGCAGAGCCTTAAAGGAGCTCCTTAAAAATGTATTAACATTTTTAGAGCCTCTAGCTCAAACTCTCATGGAGCTATTCTAGCATCACTGAATTTAAGGGAAGACATCCCAGTCATCCTCCCTGTCCCCAGACAGTGGCTTGTCTTGGCAAATGTTACCCTCTTTATCCCCAAAATGTTAACAAAGAGCTCTGAAATTCCAAACCTTATTTTTTTGTTGATAGTTTAACTCTCTTCTGTATTTCAGGGAAGCACCTCCCTAATGGATTAACATGATACTGGTATAAAAAATGACTTCCTAAAGATGTTGGTGGTGCTTAGTAGGGAACATTTAAAATAACTAAAGAAAGCCTCAGATTTTCCCTATTCCAGGCAAGTTCCTAGGCTGTGTTCAACTCTTCCAGGCATCCATTCAAGGGGAGGTACATGAAAAACTGTATTATGCTGCTAAATCACTGCTTTTTATCTCTCTCTCTCTTGATACCAGCATCCTGTGGTACCTTCTGTTTCTCTGCATGTTGACATTCTTGGTATTTCTGTTTTTCTTTAAATTCCCATCATGCCTACTGCCAGGAGTTCCCAGTCTTTTTGTATATTGTGACTCACTGGGGAATTCCTGCTCCTCAAAAGGGCTGATGAGGCCTCAACTCTTGTTTCTAGGAAGCATCCCCAATGTTTTTAAATGAGAAAAACTTGGTTTCAAGTGCAAAGTTTTCCTCTGAAAACTTTTTTTTTCCCCTTTGAAAAGCACTCTGAGAGACAAATCTGCTCACCTCTACTGACCAAAAAGCAGTCAGTGTCTCAGGAAACTTGCTGCAGACACTGTCCTGCTGGCTGCAGTCTTCCTGACTTTTGGGATTCCATGCATGAATTGCCCAGAAAAAGCTGGGAGTCGGTTTCAGGTAACTCAGTGTTAGCTGCATTCACACAAGGAAAGCTGTAGTATCCAATAGAAAAAGAGTTTAAAATAAAATCTGGCTTGATGGAGGGTTATATACACTGGCTCCCCGAAGTCTTTTTATGTACAGAATAAAAGTAAGGCTAGAGATTGAACCAACACTACCTGGTCCTGAGTGTGTAAAGTGGAGCCCAAGGGTATCCTTTGGCAGATCAGCATGATCCCAATGTTCCAGGGACACCCTTGGCACCCAGGCTGTAATAGATCCTACACAGTGTCTGGTCGCCAGCTGCTGCCAAGGAGCTGCTGCTTCCTCATCCCAGCTCCAGAAGTTAATCAGCCAGGGTTGGAGGCCAGTCAACATCAACAGACTAGAAAAGCAGAGGGAGAAAAAAAGGCAGCTGAGGTGGTATTTTACAGATAACCAAAAGAATCACAACTCCTTTTGCTGTTACCTGGCAGCATCACTCTCTGTTGGGCTACATTTACAAAGGAGCGTAGCAGTAGGAAATGCATCCTGTGGTAAGGGATGTTGATGCACTCATGAGCAATTCCATGGAAAGCATCTCAGCAGGGCAACTCCCTTAGTAATTTCCAGGAAAGACAAACAGCAACCAACTTACTTCTACATCCAGCTCCAGAATGTCAGCAGTTCTGTTCAGAAGGGACCCAATGTTGGGCTTTGTTCTCCCAAAGTCTCCGTGTACAAACTCTTTAATGTAGCTGGGAAACACTGGCTAAGGAGAGGTGGATCCCACACCAAAAAAATCAAAAGGGGTGGAAAAAAAGTGCTTTTTCTACTCCTACGTAATTTTTTAGTTAATATCCTGTTAAGCCCATACATATCTTTAGGAGAGCACCTAATTCCTGGCTTCTGACTCCGGTGCCAAAAACTGCACCTTTATTTTGTTTCATTCCAAACGGAGTAGTGACAAAACTGTAGCTTGCAAGTAGCAGCGATCTCCAGTATGCACTGAAGTGCATTAAATATTGTGGAAAAGGTCATTTTTGGAGGCAAAAAGTTATCAGTTAAATTAGAAAAAGCTGAAGTGTATTTTAACCAGCACATTTTTATATCTGTCTCATACTTAATGAAAACTCCAATATGAAATTGTGACCTAAGAGCAAATACTGTGCAGTGACACCACTGCAGGACAGCAGGGGTTCCAAAACACCACAGCCACCTAAGCAGGGAACTTCCCATTATCCCAGTCACTCCCTCCAGGAGGCTGCTTGGCCCCTGGCTGGTGTCAGGACAGCCAAGGATACGTTCCTGCCTGAGTCTTGAGGTGCAGACGGAAGTGGTGCTCATCGATGTACTCGGATTTCATGGTGTGGATGAGCCGGCAGCGCATGGCCAGGGGCCGCCGGTGCAGCACCCGCAGAGGGGTCTTCTGGTCCAGCTTTAACTCCTGGTACAAGAAGGGACCAAAAACATGAGGAAGGAAATGTGCAAAGGCTACGTGGATTGTAGGAAGTGTGTGTGTTGTTAACCAGTCCCATCTCTTTTATCTTGTGTTCTGGCAGTGGAGTAATCTCAAGGCAGGACCGTTTTTTTCCAAGTTTATCAAAGGAAAAAGGACAGCCCTCTCAGAGGCCAGAGGAGGCCTCACATGAACACAAACTAATGGAATCACAAATACAGAGGAATAACCTTGAAATCTCCATAGCCCTTTGCTGGAATGACTCCAGGATTTAGCAGCTCACTCAGAGCCTCAGGGCAATCAGAAAAAAAAATAAATCCCACCCACAAAATGCTTTGTCTAAACTACAGCCAACCCCCTAGAAATAAAAGTGAAGGGGAAAACCTTAAATGAGATTAGATCTCAGAACAGTCTTTTCAAAAGTTCATTCCCAACTCCCTTTCCCAAAGGAGAGGCAGCAGTGTGAAAGGCAACTTCTGAGGAGCAAGGGAAGCGAAAGGAAGAAGTTCACAACAGTTGTCTGCCTGAGCTGTAATAGCTTTGAGAATGAGCTCATGGGCAAGTCCTGTAGGAAATGGTGCAGCACACCAGAAACTGAACTGAAACTCCAAGTTTCTTGAAGAGCTCTCCCAGTTCCTTGGCCTGAATGAGACTGCTACAATCAGACTAACTATCCACTTGGAGGAGAGGAGGGGGAAGTAGCAGAGTTTTCCCTGTTTTTCCTTGGGCTTTCTGTGTCTCTCCATCAGGCCAACATCTGGAGAAAGTTCTCGTTCCTGCACATGCTGAGCCTTCCTGAGGCCTCTGCACTCTGACATAGACATTTCCATCTCCAAAGTTGCAGGTGTGGGACAATGGCTTTAGAGCAGAACAAAAGAGCTTTTCTGCTCCTTTCACCTACAGGACACTATCTAAGGTAACAAAATAGTGCAGGTGCCAGATTTCCTCCTCTCCCAGGATTTGGTCTCATGGAAGGTGAAGATTACACAAGGATTTGTTATCTCTGCTAACAGCCAACCCCTCTGTCCTGTTGGAGTGACTGGTAAAGGAAGGAAGGGTGCTTTGGAAGTCCCTATAGCAAGAGAAACCCTGATTAAAAAAAAAAAAAAAACCAAAACCAAAACAAAAACCAAGCACAGAGCAAGAGACAGGCACATGGATGGCCTGTATTTACCTATTCCCTAGGGCACAAGGACAGGTACTATTTAAATGAGCAACAAGAGCTCCTGCTACCTTGATATCATCTAGAAACGCAATGTCTTCTCTCTGTATTGCTTTGTCTGTCCATATCAAGGCACTGTAGGTCTTTGTCTTCTCCTCCTCACCTTCCTTCATACGACCAATTGCCTCTCTAAACAAAAGAAATTAATTAGTCACTTAACAGAAGCATAATTATACAAGGCTGTGAGCAAGAACACTTCCCAACTCCCCGAGTGCCACTTTGAAATCCCTCGCCGGCGACGATAAACACTGACCTGGTGACAAGCTGTAAATCTCGAACCTGTATTTTGTCTGAAGAATCATTAATTGCCTGTGATATTTCAAAAAAGCAATCAGTTAGCAGAGCTGCTGGGTTGGAGAGGCAGCATGTGCTTCACGGGTCCCGTGATTTACCTGCTGCAGCCTCTTCATCTCCTCTGCGGTGAAATGGATCCTGCGAGGATTCACCAGCTCCATCGCAAAGGGCCTTCCTGGCAACGGGCACAGGCATAAAACACAAAAACATGTTGTTCTAAATTAATGCTGCATTTGCACAGGAAGGCTGGAAGGTGTGAAGACTGTCTGCTGTTACACAAACAGGGAGAGGACTGGCGGGCTGAGGGATGGAGCATCAAATGCAAGGGAAGAAACAAGGGACTGTTTTTTGGCTACTAAACCCCAGTATCAGCAATAAGTGCAAATTATGACTTCCCAGAAGACATCTTGTACAAGTCTGTGCTAATTAAAAAATAAAATAAGAAAAAAAGCTAATTAGCTTATTTTCTGTCACCTACAGCAATGCCCAGGTGCATGGCAATGTTAAATCCCACTCTCTCAGCTCAACATCTGTTGCCAGAGTTGTAACTCTGTGCTCAGGGCCAGGACAATCCCCAGCACGAGCCATGCCAAGAATCACAGTGCAGATCAGACAGCTACTGAAACACAGAACTGTTCATTTTTTCTTTTTCTTTCCCTCCTCCCTTGGCTACAGTTTCAGTGTGTTGGAAAGCAGCTGACCTTCAGAAGGGACTCAAGTTCAAAAAGAAAACAAGGCTCCCCCACTCTGCAGTGAGGGAATTAGAACGATCCAGCAGAAAACAAGAGAGGAATCAATCTGACATAAATGGCTAAGTAGGGAGTGAATAAAATAAAATACTTTTAAATAACTATGCCTTCCCATGCAGCCAAGGCCATTGAAAAAGGGCTCCTGTTTCAAGCTGGTTTTATGAAGCTGTTGGTCTTTGGGAGTAAGTATCTAAATTTCACTAAAATGCTTCTGAGATAAAATTCTAAAACATGCCTGGTCACACACTTGGCATTCACCAGAATCTGATAGAGGAGCTCCACACACCCATTTCATCTTTTGTGTTTCACAAGGGGTCTTCCAAGCCTTACCATTGCCTAGTGTCCTTACATCCACATCTTCTCTTCCAGAGGAACTAAAATTAAAGCCTATAACAGATTTGAACAAGACAGGTGAGCTTTTATTTTACAGTTGTAATTCTCTCTACAGCTTTTAAAAGGTGAAATATTTTCTTTCTAAACTTGTTTGCAAAATCTACTTCCAATCTACTTTATAAACTGGAGCCTGCACTTCACAAACTGTGGGAATTCCTGTTTATTCCCAAGTTTCTTGAAGAGCTCTCCCAGTTCCTTGGCCTGAATGAGACTGCTACAATCAGACTAACATATCCACTTGGAGGAGAGGAGGGGGAAGTAGCAGGGTCTTCCCCAAACTAATATTTAATTAAGCCCAAGTTTTAACTTGGGCTTTCTATGTCTCTATATCCACATCTGTTAGATGACAAGTGATGGGCAGTAATTATTTCATCTGGACAATCCCTGGATAAGCATTTAGCTTGTGGAACTTTATGCACTGAGGAAAATAAATGAATCGAGGTAAGAAACATGAGGGGGTCAAAAGCCAGGCAGATCTTATGGAAGTCAAAAACATTCTTGGTACAAGTCATTTTATGAATTATTAACTCTTAAGAAGTTTGGTTAAGCCAAAACACTCCCACATAAAACCAACTTATCTGCATCATCAAATCGACTGAGGAGCTACTTTAACAGGATAAAAGGATCTAATTACTCCCAGATCACAGCTAAATAAAGTTTACAAGCTTTAACTTGGAAGGAAACAAGAGGAATAAAGAAATTTTTTTTTTTTCCATTATACTCTCATATTATGTGGGTAGCTACCAAGAAAAAAATCTTCTAGTAGTGATGAAAAATATGTATGGTAGAAGATCTCCTAAAGACTTACTGTCTGCCTTGAATTTTGCCATCAGATGCTCTGAAATTAATTCTTCCACTGAAGATTCCAGCTTTCGCTCCCCATCAATAATCCAGGGAGTCTGAGGTAAATTCCTGGAATATTTGTTGTATCTTCCTGTAAAAGACAACCATGGTACTTCTAACCATTCCACAGCCATTAGTGAAAGCTGCAGTATTGCCCAGCACATTTAACTTCCATGGGAGCTTTGTGCAAATAAATTGACAGGCTCGAGCTTGCTTTATGGCAGGAGCATTACACCAGCACCGTGGATCACACGTGGCTACATCCAGGGAAGTGGCAGTAGCCAGGATGGCCACTTAGGGTGGACTTGGAACGCCTGTGGCTGCAGTCCTGCCTCCAGGTATCCTGTGTGAAATTACCCAGGTTCCAAGCCAGTTCTGCCATTGCCTGAAGGCTTAAGAAAAGAAACCCAAACTAAAATGCTTTGGCTCACTACAAGGAACACCACACAAAGAGTAAAAAGTCCCCATAATAAACTAGGAGGAATAAACTAGGAGACTTGAGAAGGTGCCACGTAAAGAGACTGGCATCTTTGGATGGTCCCAGTGATGATTTCATGGCCCCTCCATGGCAGGCTATAACAAAAGAACAAGCTTGACATGGATGAACAATATGAGCTTTTTGATGGACAGGTTTGATAAGAACTGAAAATATTCCCAAAGCGAGGAAATAATTCATAAAGGCCAAGGAGCAACCCCCTGCTTAAACTGCTTTCAACCTGAAACCTTGCAAATAGAAAAGGAATTCAGAGTAGCTCTGTGCATTACTTTGGGCCTCTGACATCACAGGGGTTTGGGGTTTCATATCATATTTTCCTACCTTGAAGAATGTTTCCTTTTTGCAGTTCGAGCAGCAGAAAAAGCCAAAAAGCCACACAAACAAATGGGGAAACTGAGTAACACAGTTTCACTGGGCAAATAATGAAAGTAGAATGACTCATCATTCAGATACAGCTTCACACTGCTAAATTCTCTTTCCATAAAATGGAAAAAGGAGAATTAGGTTTGCTTTTTTTTTTTCTTTCCTCTCAGCTCCCCATTCTAATAATTTTAACTGTTGATCTGAACAAGAGTAGGTTTAAAAAAACAGGTGTATTTGGTTTGACAGCCCCATAATCCTTAAAAAATGATGGGGTGTAAACACCAAAGGTAAGGTCAGGAGGACAATGTTGTGCTTACAAATTAAGATCACATCTCATTTATTAAAGGCAAAATACCCGCACTGTACTCAATAAATTCTATTCTGGATTTAGTCCTTCAAAAATTAAACACCTGCCTGAATTGGTTTTTTGTTGGAGCAAGATATAAACTATAAATGACAAGACCAATATTAAATGACAGGCAGAAAGCAAACCCTCTGTTTTGCTCTTCATACTGTTGAATTCTGAAAAAAACTATCCAATAAAGCAACTTAAAATAAAGCAGTGTGTTTGGAAAAGACAGAAAGGAATCGGATATCGTGGATTCACAAAAATGTACATCTAACTGCCTAATCAGTAATTAGGGAATAGTTATATGTAGAACATCGACTATCCTGCCATTCACTTTCATAGTTTTTCATTTTCCATTTCTTTATATTGAGGGGTTTTATCATCAGAGTATGTTGGATTTAAATTAAAGGTTGGGTTCTTTTTAGTAATAATCAGTTTGCATGTATTTAAATATGTTGTTCATACAAAGGACTAGAAGAATGGCAGATACTCTGGTGGGCAGATGATAAAAAAGTTCAATCATCTCAACTCAGGGACACCCAAGCGTTGCTGCACTACCTGTCTCACCCAAACCTTTATAAATCCCATGAAGATTTGCAGTTTTGGATGGGATAATATGCAGAGAAATCCAGATGGTGAAAACCTCTGAATCCAAATCAAAACCCAAGGAAGTGAACAGCACTGCTGGGAGCTTGCTGGTGTGGAGCTGCCTTTCTCAAACCATTATTCTGAGGGGATCTATAATTTCTAGCTTTTGACAACATAATGTCTTCAGCAAAGGTCAAATATAATTTCTTCCCCTTTCAAAGCACTCCTGGATAGAGCTAGATTTGTTTCTTTTTTCCTTACACTTCATTACAGGAATTAACAAACAGCAAGAATCCTCTGGGTCTCAGGGCAGTGTTACAAAGTTCTCTTCAAGACAACACAGCAGCAAAGAAATGGATCACTTTACCAGCAACAAAAACTGCACCATTATTGCATTCAATTTCCAGAGCATCACAGAGGTTCTTTGGTGAACTTGGAGGACATGGAAAATGCCTGTATTAAAAGTAAGAACAGAGTAAAGCATTATCACTACCAGAACGTGATGGAGCATCACCAGAGCAGTAAAAAGTGCCTATTTTTGGCTTCCCGCTGTGATTTTTACCAGATTAACAACACTTGGTGTTTTCTTAAAACTCAACACCTAACATTTTGGAAATATGGGAATATTTCTTGTAAAGGGAAGCTTACCTTACAAACTCTAAAGTTCAAAATCATCCTTTTAATTAAAAGATCAGGAGTGATTTTCTGTTGCCAGAAAGAAAACATCTTTTAAGCAGTAAACCAACAGAACTTGAACAATCAAAAGTTCTTTTAAAGCCACTCTACCACTACATACCCACTGGATATTTTCCTCCCTTCCCTAATTCTATACAAAAGCACAATACTAAGAAATAGTTTCAGTATATACTTACTTGAGAAAATCTTCTTCTTTTATCCTCTCCAGGGCTTTTATAACTGCCATTCTGGTGAAAACAGACTGCACAGTGAAATAAAAAAGTGAGTCAAGACCTACAAAAAGCAAGGAAAGGATATGCCTGAGGAAGAAAAAAAGCACTGAAACTTACACTGTGCAGTTCTGTCACTGCTCACCTGGGAGTCCAGGTCCAAATTTGCAAAAGAGTTTAAAACCAGAATCCTAAATCCATGAACAGAAACCTAAACCAGCTTCTTTTTCAGGTGTTAAATATACCCAAGCCCAGCTTTTATGTCAGTGACATAAAAGTGACAGGTAGTTCTGCTGAAAATAAGCCTGTTGAGTAGCAATCTGTTTCTGAAGTTCAAAAATGGATTGACTCTCAGAATTAAGGGCTCTGAACAGTGGGGCTGGGCAGTTCCTCTTGTGGAAATCAAGCAGCTCCTCACTCCCAAGCTGCAGCAAAAGCAGCAATGCCAGTAGAGCAGGAGCAGACTGCCAAGCTCTGTGTACAGCCAGCTGCTGCTGGGGTAACTCCAGTGGGAATTTATGTTCCTGGGACAGAAGGAACAAGTGTTGTAACAGCTGAGGTGAAATCCTGCTTAGGAAGGCTGAGGACAGGAGAAGGTCTCTAAATTAACCTCCTAACCAAGCATGGTCAAATCTTGAAATCCACCTGGGATGGAGCCTGCTTCACTCTGAGTTTCATCAAGGTAAAATGTTTTTCTTGTGTCTCCTCTGAACTTCTCATTTCAACATATTCCTGCTGTGTCTCCTCCCTCCACCACACTTGTGCAGACCAGCCTGGCTCCCTGCTCTCAGTAATCTCTTTTGGCACCAGGAGGAGATTCAACTGGATCCTCCCCAAAGCCTTCACCAAGAACCTTGAAGAAGTCCAGGTTCCTCAGCCTCCCCTCCCAGGCATGTACTCCAGCCCTGGGACTTCCCTGATGGCTGTCTGCTGAATTTCCAATTTAATGGTGTCTTTTTTGCAAACTGGACTGGGGATTTAGGAAAACAAACAAACAAAAAACCCCTGGGTCACTGTCTGGGACAATTCAAGTCTTGGCTCTAAAGAGTTCTTGAGTGTCTTCAGGAAAGCTGCTCTTTCTCCTTCTAAGCATAAATCAGAGATAATAGCACTTCCCTTCCTCATAGAACAGATGAGCAGGAAAGCCCTGAAAGCAGCAGCAGGTTTAAATAACTATCTACACAGACAGCACAGAAATTTTCCCTCAGAAGCCAGTTTTTACACCACTTCTCTGATTAACACAGCCCTTGAAGCCCAGCTCCTTTGTGAAGACAAACCTCTGACAGCTCTTCAGAGCTGGTATTTTTCTTTAGATTCCTCTACATTTTGTTACCTGTGTGGATTTAACAGCCAGGCCCTGCTGCTTTAGCTCCTTATGTGGGATTTCCCCCCTGTTAAAGGGCAGCAATGCAGCAAGCAGTGAGTTACAACAATACAACCCTGCTAAAAGAAGAGTGGTGCTTATTGGTCAGGTGGAGTAGAGTTAGCAGAATTCCTGGGCCAGACTCTGCCTCTGCCAAATGTTGGCAGACTCTTCACCAGAAAGACTCAAAAGACCTTGCAATGGCCTCTGACAGGAGTTACTTGTTCTCCCTCTGATCACATCAACTGTCCCACTTGTATCAGTTTCCCTCTGACTGGTTTTTTATCCTCGCATGTCCCCTTTTCCAGCTGTGTGTGTGCTCAGGGTCTGCAGCAAGTGGCAAGGTCCCTTTTCTTTCCCCCTCCTCCAGAGGCAGGCAGGATAAAACCATCCTGCATGTATCCTGGCTTTCATTCAGATCAGAGCACATGAAAACTGCAGTGTGATCATCTCCCTTTTGGCTGCCGAGTCTCATCTTTACAATGTAACTTATCTGAACTGCTTCACCCACAGAGAGCTTGAGGATCATCTTTTATGCTACTTTTAATGCATGACAATCAAATTCCTAGATCTTAAGGGGGGTATTTACAGAGAACCTTCCTAAAATTATGGCCTTTGGACAGCCTGGAAAGTGAACGACCTAAACAAAAGCATCAAGCTCTTGGTTTTCCTAAGCTGAGAATTGTGAAGTGAATAAAGGAGACAACTTTATTTTCAGACAATTGAAAACTAGAGAGCTTTTTGATGAAGGAAAAGCAGACACTGAGCACTGACTGAATACCCAGGTAAGTTTTAAGCTACTGCTGTGAAATTCTGAATGTCAGAGCAGAAATACAATTATGAAATCTTACCTGTTTGTTCTTTGCTGGTTTGAAACAGTCTGGGCAGGCTGTGGCTCTAAACACAAAAATGAAAATTAGCTGCTCCTCTTACAGAGAAAGAAATAGACAGACTCACAAGCAGAGTATGTAAATGGTTTTTGTACACATACATCCAGTGTCTCACTTCCACAGCTTAGCTCAGAGCAGATTTTTAAATTCCCTTTATCCTAAACCATGAATGGTGCAAGATGTGCATTGCTTGATCCAGAGAAACCATGGACAAAGCTCTGTTCCTCTGCTCTGACCAACACTGTGTCTCAGATTTGAGATGGGATGGGAAAGCACACAAGTTTAGCTTTCAGTCCTTTCCAATTTTAAGTTCTAGGCAAGATCCACTGACACCTTGAAATCTGCACTTGCTGCTCTTAGACAATACCCAATACAAACCTGAGATTCAAACTGTCCCTTCTGGAGAGGAAAATTCAATTTCCCACTGAAAAAGTAACCCTGTGCTCACCACAACCTATGCTTTGCCTGTTTGAAAGGAAATTATTGGCTGTTTCATGAAAGTGAAAGCCAAGTCAGTGAAACGCTTTTCTGAGCAGTGTAGAGGAAATTGGTGTTCCTATTAGTGCATTTCTGTGTATGCAGGCAGAGATGATTTCTGTATTTCTATGTATGCAGTCAGAGATACTTCTGACCTCTGACCCAAGTTATCATGTCTTGTCGGTGCTTTTCAACACCTCTGTAACTCCTTCAGACTCTAAGGAAGCAAGTTTTGCTGTTTCTATACAAACAACTTCCCTGGCCAGTCTGTGACCCAAAGCAATGCAAACTCCCTCTTCCAAAATTTCAATATCACCTTACCCTTAAATATGAACTGACAAGAGCCAATTCAATCTTCCATGTCAAACCACTCAGCACACCCACCTCCACACATCTGTGTAAGAACAGGTGAGAAACTGCAGATGCCATGCTTGGAAATCCAATCTGAAAGTACATCTGGAGCTCTCCAGGTTGAGACAAAGTCCTGCTTTGCTTCCACAGAAACCATGAATGTCCCTACTACTGTGGTAATTCCCAAATGTACCATATTTCTCTGAAAACCAAAGCACTGCCTCAAAATGTGCCTAGAGCCAGCCACTCAGACAAGCAGAATGCCTTGGCACCTCAGGAACTACTGTGTAATTAAATTAGGTGATGTGCTCCTACTTCAGAAAGTGTCTCAAACCTTAATTGCTGTTTAAGTGTGCTATAAAGAGGACACAAATAAAGGGATGAACATGGAATGAACCTGAGTAATTGGAAAGTGGAATGGAACTTCTTTACAGCTTTCACCTCTACAACTGCTCTGCTTGGAGCATTAACACTGGCACCATAGCATGTTCAACAGCAATACTCCTGAAATGCCAGAAAAAGGATGGAAGGATGAGTGGAAAATACCAGTGAAGAGGTTTCAGAGGAAGGAAGGAAAATTAAATAAATTAGAACAAAAGGGTGCAGGATACAGAAACACTTCAGTTCTTTATAGGATTGCAGGAACTATTATTTAGAACAGTACTTTGGCCCTACATTTTTCTCCCTCTTTTGCCCAGTCTTGGAGAAGCTGGAAAGATGTTCAGCAAACACTGGTAATAATTGTTCCTAATACTGGTTCCTTCCCAACTTCCATTCCCTCATCTTCACCTCAAGACAAACAAAAGATGCAGTTGTGGAAAACTAAGAAGGTGGTGGACTGAGCACTCAAAGATCACAAATGGCCAGAAAAGAAATCAGGAAATAAAAAAAGGCTGCAGGAGAAGTCTCCAGTCTCTAGAAATGAATTCATATTTCAACAGAGACATCTCTGCTGAGCCTCCTTCCACACTAAGATTTGACTTGCAGTAGGTGCAAATTAACTGAGTGAAACTTTAGGTCTTCCAGGAAGTATCAACAAACAGGAAGAGTAACCCAAATTTTCCAGAATATACTGCAGCTAGATTTTGAGAAATCAGATTAAATGGCAGCTAAATTCACAGAACTGTTTTGCTTCTTTGTGTACAGCAGGTACAGAGGCTGTGTGCACTGGCCAGGGAATTTCTGGCTATTTTCATCAACCAGCTTGATTAATTCACTTCAAAGCCTTTCCTCCTGTCCATGTGTCCTACAAGAGCAGGAAAACTTAGGTATGACCTCAAAAGATTCCCCCACCTGCAATTACATGGTTCAAATTTTTAAAAATTACACAGGGAATGTCTTTGAGAAGGGCTGAAATTGAAGAACTTATCTGAATGCTCTCCTTCTAGTTCAAATCAGAATTCCAGAGGATTTTTTTTATTGGCAGAATTAACCAAGGTGGTTTAAGTTCAAGCTCTGTTACTTCATGTGGATATGAGGAAATCTAGATGCAGGCCACGGTCTAGTTTATAAACACTGCATATTGTCCTCTGTAACAAATCCAAACCAACAATGTTGCACAACATTTAGATAAAGATCTTTTGTTACATGTAGAAAAACTTACAGGAAATGGCACTCTTCGTCTGTTTCTGGGTGAGCAAAGACCACGCTAACTTCAAACAAACTCTAAATTAAAAAAAAAAAAAAAAAAAGAACAAGGAGGAGGTAATAATTTTTTAAACAACCAGGGAGGATATTCTCAAGCACCCATATTGTAGTTGTAGGAAAACAGCAGAGACAAAAGAGAAAAAAACCCATTCATTTATGTTTAAAGACATTAAAAGGTGTGCCAGAACAGCATTTGCCTTTCTGAAGTCACCAAAGATGATGTGAGGGCACTTCAGAGCCATGAGTGACCTGCACTGGTCCCATCCTGTGCAGGGCTGAGGCAGAGGCAGCCAAGGCTCAAAGACTATTACGGTCACTAAACCCCAGAGCCCTCCCAGGAGTACAATAAAGATAAAAACCCTGCAGTAGTCACCACTGTAAAATTTTGTCAGGGGCTTCCTTTGCAGTGCCTGCATGGCCTTGGGGCAAAGAAAGGCAACACATCCTGGTGGATTGACAGCTAGCCCAGGAACTCCAGTGTAATCTCAATTCTTCCCCCAATTCCCTCTCTGGCCTTGGGCAAACAACGCTCATTACTTCTGTTACTCAGATACCAGAACACCTCAGGAGGGCTATTGAAAAGATTGGCTAATATTCAAGGGCCTTGTAGATAGGGCACTAGAAAAACAACTTTTGTGGTACAGGATGTCTGTGCCTAAGTGGTGGGGAGCTTTTGCTAACTTGATGTGTAAGAAATTTGTTTCTTCCTGGATCATCTTCAGAGTAATTGAGTGGGTTTTTTCTTCACTAAGACAAAAGGGATGCTTTCAATTAGCACTCCTGGGAAAACACAGCCTGTAATTATTATGGAAGCTGACAAATCAACATGAAGATTAAGTGAATCTAGTCCTGGGGTCAGTGCTATGGCTGATGACAAGTAAAATCCACAGTTGGCCATGACTGCAGAAAATTTACAGTCAAGACGACTCAAGGTGCTTCTGAATTTGGCAACACCTGACCACCATGTTCAGTCAATGCCTTTCAGAAAGATTTTAAGGAAATTAATCAGAATCTGCAAGTGGAAAACAGTTCGAAGAAAACATTTCTACTGCCTACTTAGGGATATTGCAGGTCCCAACAAACCCATTTCTAGTGTTCATTAGAGTGAACAAGGACCAGTCTTTCCTCTTTCAGTACATTTCAGACATTTATTTTATCCACAGAACCTGAATAAGTGTTAGCAGTGACAGCAGAGCAGGGAAGGAATGTGTGGGCATTCCTCAGCCTCTGCAAAACAGGGATCCTGGAACAGGAGGCAGCTGGAAAAGTCTCATTAACAAATGGAGGATGGCAGCACAAGAGATTTAGCACAAGCCTGTGGTGGTTTCAGAAGATGCAATGATCTGTATGGACAAAAATGAACATTGGGCTCCTCAGGACTCTCACTTGGAGAGCTCTGGTTAGAAGAACTTCCCCCTTGCTCTTCCCTACAGTGAATTTAGGAGCCACTGAACTAGTTTCTCTCTTAATAAGGAAAAAAAGGACACATTTTTATTTCCCCACTATGGCATAGGTGTATAAATATATACACACAAACCCCGTATGGAAAAAGAATGAAGAAACAAAAGTGTTCTGTTGTTTATACAAGACCTTTCCATCAGCAGGAACACCCAACTCTTCTGACAGCTGGGGATGAATGATCCACTTATAAGCTTCTTTCAGCTGAACGATGTCATCCTTTGCGAAGGGAAGGCCCAGATTTCTGAATCACAAAGAAATAATAACTTGCACAGGGGTCTGTCAAAAATAGATACATGACATACAATATTTCAAGAGGAACTTAAGTAGCTACTGCCAAGTAAAACAGATTCTTTTTTCCCTGTGCACTGAGGAAAATTATGTCAGAGCTTCCTGGGAGATCAAAAGTTGCAAGAGTCTTTCCAGAGCCCGCCCAGAGAAAAGCTGAGGAAGAGAGAGAGGCATTTCAAACCACTTGTTTGGGAACTTAAAGAGCAAAAGAGATAATAAACCCCAAGTAAGGTTAAACCAGGTAAAAAAGAAAAAACAAAACACACAAAACCCAGTTGCCACCTTATTCTTTGTAAGCATCAGGTAAATGGGACTAAAATTCAACATTACTATAGAGAAATGGTGTCTGTATGAAGAGTTCTTATCAGACAGACAGCAAAAGCAATGGCTCACCTCATCTGCTGCTTCACCCCCAGCCAAGCAGCACGCTGCAGGTCACCAGCCATGCCCAGCGAAAAGAGAGGAAAAAATAAAAGCAAGTAAAATTAAGACTCAGAACTCCCAAAAATCTGAGAGACTCTTTGCAAAGGGAGAAGTGTTTTTAAAACTTGTGACAAAAAGGAAGTATCAGGAATTAAGCTTTTGCTTCAGAAGTGGAAAGATGAAATTGCTGTGAGTTTTTATTTTTGTTCTTCACATCAAATCCTATCTGGCTTAATTAAAAAAAAAAAAAAAGAGGAATATTGAACACTTTGAAACTTGCTATTAATACTGTAACTACAGAAAGACTCTAAGTTATCAGTTATCTTCCATATAGAAATTTTTAAAAAGTGTCTAAATGAATGGGATACAAAAGCCAATTGACATAAATTAATAAAACCCCAAATTCAGCTATCCTCCATTATAAAAAAAGGGAATTAAAAATATACTCGGTCCTACTTGGTAATCACAGAATTGCCCCCTTATTGCACACCACTTAGTTTAGGTGAATAGGCTAAATATGGAAAAGGGGAGGAACAGAAGGAAGAATTCTAGAAATCAAGGGGAGCTTTTAGTACAAATGCTCAAATTCACTAACAATTAGTAAAAAGAGAAAAACTCCCCTCAGAACTTCCTGCAATGAAGAACAACAACAGTTTCAGTTCTCCTCCACTAACAACAAAATACACTAAGACTGGCAGGAAAGCATTTAACTAATTTAGCCTGTGTCACTCTCCTCACTGAAGACAAACTCCAAAAATCAAGTTGTTTGATTTGAATTCACCACAATGAAACAGTTTTCAGCCTGTAGGCTGCAGGCTTTTAAACCCCTTCCCCATCTTTTATTTTTCATAAACTTAAAGAATAACCTCCCCCAAACTCTGCTGAAAGAATCACTGTGCATTGACAAGGAAATAATTCTAAGAGGTTTTAAAACAGGTCTCAAACTTCAGGATCACATGGATATCAGAAGGAACCACATCATAGATCCCTAGATCCCTTTTCCATGCTGATAAGGAACTCAATAGACAAAATAAGTCTATTACCCTTCATTTGGTACATCTAAAAGAATGAGGGAGCCCTAAAAACAGTGCTGGAAATTAAGAGGGAAGAGGGATGGTGGAGAGAGGACACAAACTTTGTTAGATGCATGATACACAAACCTACATATTGGTGAACAAAACAAATGCAGTTGTAGTGATGAAATGCTGGCTGCTCAAATCCACTGTGATTCATTATCCTACATTTGAAGACAGTATGAGTAAGGCTGAAGGAAGTCTGAAGTATATTGTAATCTTGTTTGCATAATAACCCAGATAAAATCATACATAAAAATAGCTTCAATTGAAATTCCTTGAACGTAGCTCTGAACGACAGGATGTGACAACCACAGAACTGGGCCTAGGGAGCTGCATTTGACAAATGCCAATTTACAAAGAAACCCCTCTCATGCCTTGATTTAGTGCACTTGCAGGTTTGGGATGTTTCGGACTCAGGGGGAGGCTCATTGCACTCCTCTTCCCTGTTTTCTTGGGATAAAACTACTAAATAGACAAAACTTCTGTATGGGAGCAGCTATGCTAAAATGAGAGCACAGGTCAAATTTCATCTCCTCTCTCTCTTGACTTCTAAGTTGAAAGAAAATTAAAGAAATTACTTTTCGCCTTCAATTAAGGGGAAACAATAGATGAGGGTACTGCAAGCACAGAAGCCAAAATATCCCAAATTCCAAATTGCATTCAACCACCAAGCCAGCCAAACCCCTCAACTCTCCCAGCTGAACATGGAGCAGGGGATCAGATCCCTCTACTTCGTAATTACTTCATGTTTGTGAAGTGGTTTGAAAATGAAAAATGCTCATTACAGAGCTGAAGCCTGCAGGGCAATGCTCAGCAGCAAATACATCTCTGAACACACCAGCCCAGGCATTGTATTGATTAGGAGCTGCAGGATATTATTCTGGTGCTATCTGAGGGAGCACAGTGGCAACAGTTGAAATACCACATGCAATCCCAGCCATAGCATTCTTTCAGTGCATTAGCAAAGAGCTTGGAGATGGGGAATTCCTGGATGAGGCACAGGCAGCCCAAGAGGGAGCAATGACTACAGATGTTATTTGCATAAATGTCCTTGTAGCAAGCACCAGGATGATGGATCACGACTGAGACCACAGGCAGAGCCAGCAGCCACCCTTCTGAAGGGCACGACTCACCTCATATTCTAACAGAGCTGTATGACATAAACTTGGGACTCTTGTATTTATGATTTATTTCAATCAAATCTCCTACTTGTGGAAGGAGGCAATTGCTTCCTTGCATCACATATACAAATACTATGCAAATGTAGATTTTTATGTCCTGCTCTTCTCCAGCTCCCCTCGTACATTTTAGACTTGGCAGGATGACAAGTGTCATAATTAAATGAGATGAAGGTAATACTGAAAGGCAGTTTCTGATTTTTTTTTTTTTTTGTTAAAAAGATGATGGAGAAAATCTGTGTGTCACACCAGAGGGCAGTGAGAGAGAGGCTGCCTCTGGGTGTTCTTTGATGATATGATTCCGCATGTTCTTATACACAGCAGGTCGAAGAATTAAAAGCAGAATTTAACAAATGGCCTCTTTTCAGTACAAAGCACGTTGAGATATCTGATATATGATTTTGGTATTTTCAGACATTTTTACACACTGTCTTGCTGCTTTTCTGTGGCTGTAAAACAGGTTCTCACCTATTTTTTTAAAATGATAAACAGAGAGGAGGTAAATAAAGACCCATGATATATAAAGTTCTTCCTCCACCATCACCCCTTTTCGTCCTTGCAGGTGGAGAAAACAGCTGCTTTAGCATTTGACAAGACTGGAGGGATGGAGTTGAAGGGACATCAGGAGCTTCTTAATCCGAAACTTCTCCTAGTTGAACCAAAACTACTTCCAAAGGTAACAGATCCAGTTTTGGAGCTTTCTACTCACTCATTTCACTCCATCTATTGATTTGTGAGCCCACGGAACAACTCTGACTCCCCTGGCTGTCCCCAGCACTGCTGCTTTGCTGGAACACGAGCCCCAGGCAGTGAGGACATCCCTCAGCTGAACTGTAATGCAACACCACCCTCTACCGAAGCTTCCTGCAAACATCAGGTGCTCCTGGATCACCTCAGCTTACAGCAGGCTTAAAGCTGGACTAAAACTTGGTAAAGTCTGACCTACGTTTGGGGTTTGCCAGAACATCACAGGCATACCAGTACTCACCTAGCCTGAAAGTGCTTTTTGACAGACCTCATTTTTTAGAGGCATCAAAACCCAAAATGGGAATCAAGGCAGTTTACCCAGCCAGAAAGGACAAAGCAAACACACCAACTATGCTCAATTTAAGATGGGAAGCAGAGAATCTTATCTTGCAGAAGATTTAGGAATAGAATATTTGTTAGCTGTTACAGTGGCACTTGCCCAAGATGCCACAAGTAACAGCACAAATCACCACCACACCTGCAGCAGATTATTTACCAAACTGTGTGGGAGCAGAAGAGACCTCACCACAGCTTCATACAGAAATCCAACACCATTTACACTCCTTTCTGCCATGTTCACTGCAGCTTCCACCACATTTAATCACTGCAGGCATCTCCTGTGTTGATTTACGTGTTGCCCTTTAAACCACCACTTTTGCATAACTTCTAGAACAGTACTTTTGCATCATTTTATGTCAGAACGCAGAGGAAGTTTCAAAATATCTCACAACTAAGTGTATTTTCCCATCAGTTAAAATGCTGAACACTTCAAAAGTTCATCCTCAAATTCCTTCATTTGCATTTTGCACTACCAATTATCCTTTATCCCTGGAAAGGGAGCAGCTGTGCAGCTCTGTCTCCGAGAAGATCCACAAAGCAGGGCTGGCATCTGCACCAAAGGGAACAATTCACTGAGGGTTTCAACAAACTCCTTTTAGGTTTTCAGATGGAAACGAACTCCTGGGCTAACTGAAAACTGAAGTGACTAAGACCCTTCATTAATTACAATAATGCTCATCCAGAAGGAAAGGGAGGGCACACTTCATTTCTAGCATGGACTTTTGGGTTTTTTAAACATTAAGAATTAAAAATCTAACCACCTCCAGCTCATACATTCCACAGTTACTTTCTTAAATATGTATTTAATTATTTAAGTTATTATTTAAGTTACTTACCTCTCTGACAGACAGCTGTGGGGGTAGTGACACAGAAAATACAAAACTGGTGAACTGGTAGTCAGCAGAATTAACTTTTTGGCACACCTGTAAGAGAAGGAGCTTAATATGAAACCACAGCAGTGGGACTGAGCTGATAATTTTTGTTCTAGAATAATCAAGGTGAATTCATGTTATCACACACTCAGAGAGATGCCCAACATACAAACCAGAGTAATCACTAACAGCTTATTGAAATACAAGCTTTTCTGTCCTGTTAAAAAAAAGTTACTTATCAACAGTATCCTTGGTGTTATGAAACAACCAAACTCACTGTTTTAAGGCCAGGACCAATTGTATATTGAAATTTTAGGTGAAATTAGCATCTCAGATAAGGAAATTTATGTATCAAATAAGTAGGTTTTGTAATGCCTTAACCAGTGCTGCCAGATTTTCCATTGCTACTGAAGAGAGTAGCTCTGAAATCTTAGCAGTGGATTCTGTAAAAAGATACATATTCTGCCCATGGAAACAAAAAAGAAACTATGTATTATGCTTTCTGTCCAGTTCCATTTTTGATATATTCCTGCCATTAAATCAAATCCTTTTCTATCAAAACTCTGTTAAATGTCTCAGATGCCAGTGTGAGTTTTCTAGCAGGTATATCAGTTTGTCACATAACAATACAATTGCTCAGAGATTTGCAATTGCAATGCTCTGTGCCCACATTCTCTCCTAACTCACATTTTCTCTATTATCCACAATCTGTTGCATCACCAAAACATTTTCTTCCCCTGTGGTACTTCATAAAGACAGGTTCATGCTCTATTAGAAAGATGTGGTTCAGAGAACAGCACTTGATGACTCCTCATTTTCCTGTCACATAAAAAGTGAAGAGAGGTCACCAGTTCCACTGAGGTTTTCCTTGAAAGCAGCTGAACCTCAGGTCATCTCCTAAATTCATGTAACCACATATCTGTTAGTCTTTTTCTTAGGTAAGTGTGCTCCCTGTAGTCATTCCATTGCACCTGCACTGCGATTTTTAAAAAAAGTGCCACTATGACAAAGTCTGGGCAAAATTTGGTGCTACCATAGATGCAACTTCCCAGCTGCAGGGATGTGCAAACACTGCCCAGGAGCAGGGTGGAGTAGGATTCTGCTATCTACATTTCAAATCTTCAAAATAGGCAGATGTTTTGGTTTGTTGTCTGGCCTCTCTCTTCCAAAAAAAAAAAAAAAAAAGAGAAAAAATTTATTTTGAAAAAGAAAAAAAAAAAAAAAATCTGTGCAGTGTTTTCAGCCACCAGCTCTGTCCTGCAGGCCCCAACATACACAAGCTCTAAAAAAGTACCCCAAAAGGCTAAAAATGTACCTGTTTAACAAAGTCAGCCTCACAGAACTCCTGGAGAATTCCCAAACACACGTTGCAAACCTTCCCAGCCGAGCTCTCCGTGGCAGTATTCCCACTGGCAGCCAAGGGAAGCTCTGGGATGGCCCCGTTGAGGTTCAGATCATCAGCACCTTCTTCCCTGATGTGTTCAAGCCTGATTCTCTTACAAGGTGGGTCAGCCACATCCAAACAGACTGTGTCTTCTTTTTCCTGGCTGTTCTTCAGAAATTCTTGCAAATCCTTCATCAGATCCTGACACAAACAGAGGAAACACACCCTGGTTGTTCCTCTTTAACAAACATAATTCCATAGGGCAGTATTGTTCCAGTTGAGGCTTAGTGGATGTAATTAACAACATGGAATTTATGCCCAAAGACATCTTTAAGACACAATTCAACAGCTCCAAGCTGCATTTGTCTCAAAATAGAAATTTCCAGAGAAAATATTGCTGAATAGACTTGTTTATCATCCAAGAACGAAAATGTTTTCCAGACCTGGCTTGCAGAAACACATTTATCTTTGCCCCATCACTATTCCATGAAAAGAGACATTTAGTGCTTTCTTGTCATTTAGATTATGTTAGAATTTAATTCCTTCAACTCCTTAATTCCTTCAACTGAACAGGAAGAGAGTTGGCCACTATAATAAAAAGAAAAGAGAGCAGACACAGGTGGGGGTGAAATTAAACACACAGAGTAAGAACTTTGTATCAGGAGAGAAGCCTTCAAAAGTTTACAATTACCTGTATGTCTCTGATCCCTCGAAGGATGAGAGACAAGGCATAGTTCAGGAAGAAGGACTCATTAAAAGGATTTCAGTAAGGTACTATGCTGTTGCAACTCAGAGGAAAATCAGGAAGAGATGCAAAAGGATAAAAAAGGGCACAATGAACAAACTCCTCAAACAATTGATAAAAAATGGAAAAGGATAGGGAAGAAAGATGTTAAAAATGAATTGTGGAGAGTCTAAGCTTGAGCAAAGGTAAAACAATCAAGACAGATACCAGCAGACACAAAGCATCAAGACAGGGGGTTAGAGCAAGCTAAGAAGGATGTGTAGTAACACTGTGTTTCTCTGATTTATCCTTAACCTTTGCTCTGCAATTCTTCAGTTGCATCCCCTCACCAATTCTGCAATTTCACATAAATTTCCTTCCCATTAAAGGCACAAGCATAATTCTACATAACTTCTTTTCCTTTCAGGCCAAGAGCCCAAGAACACAACAAAGGACAAACCTGGTGTGGGAGTCTGTAGAGCATCTGTGATCCCACGCAGCAGAACCTCAAAACACATCGTGGGCAAGTGCCAGCACTGAGTAAGAGCTGAACAATTGGTCTGTCCTTCTCTGTCAGGGAAGACATGCTGGGCAAATCTAAAATTCAACACAGAGGAGTAAAAAGAAAAGCTTAGAACAAACACAGTTCAGCAATTCAGTAATAAAAAGACTCAGCTGAGACACCATATTTAGAGTAACTGGAATTGTCTTAGCCTCTAGAGAAAACTTTTACAGATTTGTTTTAAATCACAGGCACAAGTGGAAGACCAACCCAAAAAAATCACTGACTGGAGGAGAAGCTTCTGTATTTCTTAAGTTTTTCCTAGAAAACCTGAACTCGAGTTCTGACAAGGAAATGCTGAGCTTTTGCCCGGTTTCATCTTGGATAAAGTACATGACATGCTAATCTTTACTAGATGAAGGAGGGTGGAGTTAAGACAAATTAAGGCAAATTTAAAATGGGAATTCCTCCTAAAATTGCAGTGACTAAATAATCAGTCTGTTAAAATCACTGGGGAAAAAAAAGATTTATAAGGTAAATAAGATTTATAAAATTTAAAAAATAAAGAGGTATTTCCCTTCTCAATATAGAACTCATATTTTTGTGAGAAATCTCACAATGTTTTTCTCCACCCTTAAAATATCATGGCTAATTTGGTTTCCCATTGTTCTCTCTGCCCAGAACTTTAGAAAAGACTGATTTTTTTTTTCCCCCAAAATGTTGTGAACTCAGCATTTTTTGGAAGAGAAAATCCCAGTGAGGTGCTCACCCTTACTGGACATCAAGGAAATTTCAGGAGGCACATAAGGATAACCACAATTGTTTAGACCAAAGGTTTAACGAGTCCACTGTCACCCAAAGTGGGAATAAATTCAGCAAGGAATTCCACAGTACTAATGAACCACCTGTTTTTGCTTTGGGCTTAGCTCCTGTAAGCAACACTTGATACTCTCCTAGTTCCTGTGGCCCAAGGGATGGGATATATCCGTGTTCTCCATGCCAGCCACTGTAACACCTGCAGTATCCAATCCTGCTCAGGAGTACCCTGCACAGGAATACTGCAGCCATGGAAAACCTCCAGAGCACGGAAATCTTATTAATTCAATGAATTTCTTTAGTCCTGCGGTTGGATGTTTTAGCGTAAGCTGTAAAAACCAAGGTGTGCCTGGAAAACTTCAAAGCTGCTTTTAAAGAGAAAGAACAAACACAGGCAAACACGCTTTTAGGTAATTGCGACCTCAATTCACCTCCATGCGACTTAAATACCGGCACTGAGTAACACGTGAGGTAAATGTGACAATATTCCTGACACTTGGTGGCAACGTGAGGAGAGGAATCGCGGCCCCCGCTCCGGCCCAGCACCGCAGGGCGGAGCTCAGAACCCCCCAGATGTGAGGAGAGGGGGGGCACAGGAGCACCGTTCCGGATCCGTTCCCGCTCCATTCGCATTCCTACCCGCACTCCCGTTCCCATTCCCGTTCCCATTCCCGTTCCCATTCCGCTCCCGCTCACCCCTCGCTCGGCGGCCCGCGGAACCGGCACAGACCCGCTCAGCAGAGCGGCAGAGCGCATCGCTCGGCCGGCGCGGCGGGGCGCCGCGCCCTCAGGGCGGCTGGTGGAATAGCTCGGCGCTCCCGCGTGGCGCCTGCCAGCGGGCGGGGCCGAGTGAGGCCGAGCCCGAGCCGAGCGGAGCCGAGCGCGGCCGAAGCGGAGCCGAGAGGGGCCGAAGCGGTGCCGGGCGAGGCCGAAGCGGAGCCGAGCGCGGCCAAGGGGGCGCGATGGCGGCGAAGCCGCCGCCCAAGCCCTGGGAGTCTCGGCGGCTGCCGGGCACCGCGACCGCCTTCCAGTGAGTGCGACCGTCCCTCCCCGGGTGTCCCCGCCGCGGCGGCCGTGGGGGTTCGCCCTCTCGGGCCGGCCGGGCACGCTCCCCTGGGCCGGGCTTGGGCTCAAAGGTCTGGCCCGGCCGGGGCTGTCCCGCACCGTGAGGGGCTTGTGCCGGGCGGGGAGGGGTGGGCTCAAAGCCGCCGGTAGCAGAGGGAAGCTGCGTGTGAGGTGTGGGGAAGGGAGAGCTGTGTTGACACCAGGGTGCGTTCCCAGTCTATTCCTGGGGGCATTCCCAGTCGTTTCCTGGGAGCTGTGCAGCTCTGTGGGCCCCGAGCCTCTGCAGGACCGGGGGAGCTGCGTGTCAGCCCCACAACTTGGAAAAGATCCCTGTGTGTTGTCAGTCTCGTGTGTGTGTTCCCGTCTTCTGGGAGCTCTTCCGGAAAACTCAACCTGCTCGTGGAGAAGGATGCGCAGAAAGGGTTTGTGAACTCCTTCTTTTCTGTGGGAAGCCAAGGAAGGCTCGCTCGGTGGCTAAATACTCGTCTTGTTTTTCACCTGGTGCTGGTGGTTGCAGCTGGAGGGAGCTGAAACTGGGCAAAAGGTTGGCCCAGCGCTAAACACTGAGCAGAAACTTCGCTGTGCTCTCTGCAGCGTGCTGAGCCAGCAGTTTGGTGGTGTTGGTTTTTCATTCTGCGTTTATTTACCCCATTTTAAATGGCTTCAAGCAGCTTTGAAGCGGGGTGTCCTAAGTTATCTAATGGGCAGTGGACTGTAGTGTGACTTACTGAGCTACAGTAGCTCTGTTTGCTGTGATAATAACTTATTTTTCCTCCTGTTTTCAACTGCTGGGAGAGTCACAGTCTGTGATGGAAAAAGCAGCAGCGTAAAGATACAATTATTATTCTTTGCTGTGGAAACCTCTAAGTTTTGCTGAGAGGAATTCTGTTCCCTACCTTGTATGGAAATAGTACAGCAAGCAGCAGCTCCATAGCAATTCCAGCTTGACTTCCTTCTTTTTTTTCTGGACTGCAGAAGTGGGAAGTCTTGAGATGTGGCAGTAAGCATGGGAAATAAAAGGTCTGACTTTTAGGGTGATAATGTGTGAATGAAACGCATGTATTTTTATTGAACTGGCAGAAGTTGGACAAAAAGCTGCATGACAGAATTCAAATGCTCGTCAAGTACTTCCAGAGTTTTATTATGAAGGGCATTGACAAAATTATTTAAACTTAGGGGCATGCAAAGGAAAAGAAAAATTATTAAATTAAGACCTCTCTCTGCCAGCACTTCTCAGTAGTAGATTTAACCCTTTGAAAATCTGCACCCAGATAATCAGGTAGTTTGGGTAGAGAGGGAAATTCGGAACCCCAAAGCCCTTGCACATATTGTTGCATGATTACTTGCATTCCCAGTTAGGTCATGCCACCCTTTAAGAGTGGATTCAGAGGACCTCTCAAGCTGTCTTTCTGCTGTATCATTGGCTCATTGTGTAGAAGAGCTGGCAACAAGGGTTGGAAATAAAACTTTCAGATTGGAAAGTTCATAAAAGTTTGTGTTAGGGCCTATGAGAGGCTTTCATGTGCAGAAGAATGACACGGGTGTTAGAGCGGCAGGTTTGATGCCTCTGGGTTGTGTATTTCATTTCACGTGCTGATTAAATACACAACAAATGATAGAATAAATAGACCAAGGTTTTTCACATTTACATTCCAGTTCCATGTTTACACTGGATATCTGATTATGGGGTTTTATTCCCCTGAAGGATCTGTGTTTCCTGTCCAGGTCTTTTACTTCCAGCAAACGCTGTTCAATGTACTGAGTGTTGGGCTCCCAGGTTCCCTGTCCCCGCACTGCTGAAACTCTCTGTGGTGTTTAGTAGTTAGTGGAAAGGAAAACTTAAATTCTGGGTGCTAATCTTGATTATCTGAATTGGTTTAGGTCTGCTGACTTGGGTGACAATCTGCTGACCAGGCCCGGACAGCCCACGGTGGCACGAATCCCTCCACCCATTTTGCCAAGACCATCCCAGCAAACAGCAAGCAGCAGCCTGAGCGCCTTCAGGCCGGCCTACAGCTCCTTTTCCCCAGGCTATGGCTCATATGGCACCTCTTTCTATGGCAGCTATAGCCCCTACAGCTATGGCTACGGAGGGCTTGGCTATAACCGCTTCTGTGCCGATGGCATTCCCCCCAGCAGGTTTGTGCAGCAGGCTGAGGAAAGCAGTAGAGGGGCCTTCCAGTCCATCGAGAGCATCGTGCACGCCTTCGCCTCGGTCAGCATGATGATGGATGCGACCTTCTCGGCTGTCTACAACAGCTTCAGAGCTGTGCTGGATGTGGCCAACCACTTCTCCCGCCTCAAAATTCACTTCACCAAGGTGTTTTCAGCTTTCGCTCTAGTGAGAACTATAAGGTACCTCTACCAGCGCCTGCAGCGATTGCTGGGTCTGCGGCAGAGCTGCGAGAACGAGGATTTGTGGTCTGAGAGTGAGGGCAAAGTAGCTCGTGCTGGCCTTGAAGACAAGGTGGCTAACTCTGCAAAATCCTGGCCCATTTTCTTGTTCTTTGCTGTTATATTGGGAGGCCCCTACCTGATTTGGAAGCTGCTTTCTACATACAGTGAGGAAGAAACAGGTAAAGATGACCTGCAGCACCACAGAAGTGTGGCATGTATTGCTCCTTTTGTTGTTGCCTGTATAGTGGTTAATCTCACACTACAGCAATAGTAATTAATAGATGCTGGGGCACAGTACTGAATTTTAGGCATGTGATGCAAGTGACAGCCTGCTTAAGTAGCATGTTATTAAGATGTGGTTTTCTGCTGAAGCTTTCTGTGATTCCAGAATCATGCTTCCTCTCAGCTTCTGGTTTGTTCCTATTAGATGTGGCAGTTTGGGTTGGGTGGAAAAGTGTTGGTTGGATTTACTTAACATATCTTGCTTTTCATGTTACTTCTGTTACTTCTCTACTGGAAAAATTTTAGCAAGGAAGTTGAAGTGTTTTCTTCATTTTCCTTTGAAAAACACACAAAACTTTGTAACTCAAAGCAAATAAACTTGTGATTTTTGTTTCAAAACAGTGTCTAGTAACTGGGCGAGTGGAGAAGATGACCATGTAGTTGGAAGAGCAGAATATGATTTCAATGCTCTCTCAGAAGAAGAAATTTCTTTCCGTGCTGGTGATATGCTAAGATTAGCACCCAAAGGTAAACTTTTAATTTTCTGTTTATTTTCTCATCACATATGAAGTAAGTTATAGCGCAAGAGTCTGAAAATTGAAACAAAAAAGCCCCCAAACCACCTTATTTGACCAAATTCCTCATCCACACAGATTTTTACTCCCTGTGAAGTGATTAATTGCATTCTAATAAAACTTACAGAGTAGTTTTGTTGAGTTTTGTTGAATTGTCCTATAACTTGATGCATTTGCATTCTCTTCTTCAGAACAACAACCCAAGATCCGTGGTTGGCTTCTGGCTAGTTATGATGGGCAAACAACAGGACTTGTGCCAGCTAATTACATCAAAATCCTGGGCAAAAGAAGAGGTAGGAAAACAGTGGTCCTGGAAAGGATTCCAGAGCAGCAGCCAGCATTTCCCAGCACTGCTGTCAGAGGAGCCCCTGCTGCTGTGACTTTAGAGGAGCAGGAGGCTGCTTTTGAAACTGTTTTTGCTAAAAGCAGCAAAGTTCCCATTGCATTGGACTCCTCTGTGGCTGGAGGAGAGAAGCAGGAACTCTGATGCACTTTGATCAACAAAGCAACTGAACTGTGCTTTATTGATACCACTTAGGGTTTGTTGAAAATGTGGTTTGTAGTGGAGCATTGGTGGGTCTGTACCAGTTCTTGCTGCTACTGGCTGGTGAAGGGATGGAGAAATGATTGCTCAAATTTGTGGTATTTATTTTTGACTCACCTGAGGCTGTACGTCAGTGATTCTATCCACCCACCTGGCAGTGACTCTGAGATCTTGAGATAGGAGAAGTGAGGCATTCATAAAAAAGCAAACAAAGGAAAAAAAATAGGGACTGTCATTCTTGCTTAGGAGACAAATTAACACCCAGTCTTCTTAGGAGCATCAAGCTCTTCAAGAGATGTGCAAAGGGAAGATTGATTTCTGTAAGATGTTCTCCAAAACATCACCCTCAGAATCATAAAGGAGTAACAGCTCATTGTCTCCCTGTGAAAAGAGGGAGAGTTGCAGGAGATGCACACAATGAAATAGTTAGAAGGTTTAAGTTTCTTTCTATAAGAAGTAGGGTTCTGTTATAAAGAACTTAGCTCTCAGGGAAAAAAGGACTTGGGAGGAAGAGAGGATAAATAGAGTTTACAAAGGGAGAGCAGTGAGGCATCACCAGTAGGTCCAAGCAGTTCTATTTTGTCTATTAAAAGGATATTAGAGTAAAGGGTATTCTGCAGTCAGGCACTCATTAGTTGTTACTCCCTTAACTATGCATCACATTTAGCCATTTTGTGATGTAGCCTGTCAGCTACCATCTGCATCTCAACTTATTTCTGTCCTTTATTGATTTTACATGACTGTCAAAATATCTCTCCTGCATTTTTGAGCAGTAGGAAAGCCTTGAGTTAGAGGAAGCTGAAAAAAAAAAAAAGTAACATTTCTTACTTAATTGTCTCAGAGAAGGTCTTGGAGTTGGACAAACTTTTCATGCTGCCTTTCAGGTGGTAAATTTTGCATCTGCCCATAAAATTTCAGGGCTCCAGTTTATCAAAAGCCATAGAAATATTAGGACTGTTTAAAGTATTTTCTTCATGCGGGTGTTTGAGAATTCTTGAAATTTTTTGTTAAATGAAACAAAGATAAGTGAAACTTTTTTTTTCCTTGTAGTATGTATGTATAATGTGTTGAACTTCTGAAGGTTACATCAGTGGATTAAATAACTACGTTGGTCTTAATCATTGAAATAGCTGTTTTATTTTAAAGTTTCTTGAAAATATAAGTAGGGCACAGCCTTTTCTTGATTGATTGAGTAGTTTCAGTTTAACCATTCCTACAGGGATCTTCAACACCCATTATGTGTTAACAAAGCTTTCAGTATTTATATTTTTATGGCATTTGCTGGCCTTGGGTTCTTAGAGGTCTGTTCAACACAACAAAACTCTAAAAAAATTAGCACAATTTTATCGAGGTAGAGCGGAAAAGACAAATATTATGCTGGAACCTTGATTTGAAAGTAATCTCTGAATGTTAATAAATAGAACGTGAATTTAAGTGGTTGTCCTCAGGTATTGGGAGATGGTGATTAGAATAATTTATAGTAAATTGTTAGATTTTCAAGTGCAGATCTAAAGGAAAAGGTAGTTAAAGGGCAAATGAAAACCTTGAGGTTTAAAACAGATCATGTTCCCAAGATATTGCCCTGTATACCAGAAAATTATCTTGAAAATTATATCTGCTGTTGAAATGAAAATAGCAAAAAAAATCTGAAATTGAAAATACAGAGAACAAAAGGGGAGAGGGGTGTATCAAGTGTACAGTTCTGTGTGCAGAGTGTGGCCCTGGAGGGAATTAATTTACAGTTCTGAGATGTAATTAGTCGACTGTCAGTCTCTCCTGTCAGTGAAAGATTTAAATCAGAGGAATGGTCTTTAAATGAATGACTAAATAAACCCCAATTTTTTTTTTTTTTTTTGAGAGTATCCAGGGAGTTTTTTGTTTTCTGGCTGTTTTGGGTTGTTTTTTTCTGTTTTCTCTTCTGTTTTCTGGCTCGGAACAAGTTGAGAAGACAACACCATGATGCTTGTTGGAATGTTTTAAGTCTTATTTTTAGAAAGATAAATATATTTTCACTATAAATATATTTTCACTTCCAGGTCACACTATTTTGACAACAATTCTTTTAGCAGGAAGATAGGTTATTCTTACCTGAGTTGTCTTTGTATTTGTTTGACTTAGCCTACAAGTCACTGTCATCATTGTATCCATTAAATCTCAACAAGAATTTTGATCCTTTCAATCTTGCAATTACCTTAATTGGAAAAGAAGGCTCTGAGGAAATGAAGTCAAGTTATTTAACTCACAATTAATTGTATTGATTACAGAAGGGTATTAAAGTTCATTGAAGTAAAATACGCACTACAATGTACTGTCTGTTTCTGTCCACGTGGCAGGCTACAGAAAAAAGACCTAAATGAGCACTGGGTGGAAAGGAAGGCTCATGGACAGGCTGCTAAAGACTTGCACAGCTCTAGGAAGGGCAGAAGAACAAAAGGAGCAGATGTGGCTGCAACAGAAGAGCGTAGAAGAGGAGATCAGAAGAGAGAGGTGGTTGAAATATTGCTTAACCTAAGCATTTAGGCAAGCAGCTTATTTTGAGGCCTGTACATACTGTTACCTTCATGCTACTCTTCAGAATTATTTATATACCTGTAGCAGAGCTAGGAGTCTGTAATAGAGCTTTGACATCTCTTTATATAAGGTATTAGTTTATTCTTACTTAAATCTTACTGATACTGTTTAGTAGGTCAACCATTTTCTGCTTGAAAATATGAGCTACTGACACATGCCACTGCTGAGTGGTTCTCAGGGTGCAAACAGAACATGAACATGCACAGGGTCAAAGCTTTGTTCAGCTTTCTGAAAAATGAATTTTAAATCTTCTGTTTGTCTAGTAGAAATAAATTGGCCACTTTGCACAGGTTCAAAACTCTTCCTTGTGTGGAATTAGTGTCCATCTGGAATATTAAGGTTGTTCTGACTTGGTAAAATTTGCTGCTGAGGTGAATACAGAGCAAATGCAGTTTCTTACAAATCTCATCTGTTGGCAGTGAAAACCTTCCAGAAGAGGTGCAAACTTGGAAACCAGCACAGGGATTTCTTGATAAACCAGTGTAGAAATACTCTTGTGTGCAATAGTAGCAGAACTGTATTTGTTTTACACAAGAATTTATGATCTTATGTAACTCCTTCCAGATTTTTATCTATACAGGTGTGGCCCAAGTGTTGAGATTGGTGAACATTTTTGGGCTGTAAAGGCAGGTAGTAATTGTGTGTGTCCACAGGTGGTGACGCACATCCTTTTCTCTTCTCCATGTGTCTTGGACTGGTTCCTTTGCAGGGCAGTTGAAAACAGCTTTGGGCTGATAAATCTGTCCCCTGGGTTCTGTGGCCAAATGGAGCTCAGCCTTTAAACTGCTAGATAATCTCTCCTTGGAACAAGTGTACTGGTGTAACTGGTTTGACTGGTAACAGAGGCATAATGTCAGTGCCGGGCACCCCTGGCTGTTTCTTACCTGCTTTGAGCAATTCCCTAAATTTCACAACAGTCACAAAACTATCAGACTCCAGCAAATGACAGGGATTATTTATGCTGTCAGAATGTACACACAGTCTTGAGGTTTTAGAAGTGAAAAATACAAAGAGACAGTTTTACTACCTTTGAATTATTGTAACTGATCTAGCACAGTCTCTAGAACAGCAAATGAGTAAAATTTAAGACACTGATTTTTTTGTTTATTCTCAAATACTGATAATGTTTCTTATTTAAAAAATAAATAGGAGGGGACTGACTTCTGCCTAATAGCACAGATTATTGAAGAAAGCACATTCCAGTTCTCTGACATACCATCAGGTTTCTATTCATCGTGGAATAACTGGGTGTCATTATAACGCAGCAATATTCCAGCATTAGCTTATCCTGTGGGTAACTGTGGATATGAAACCGGTGGCAGGCGGGAATGCTGCGGTGAGTTGTGGCAGCGGAAAGCGGAGTTACTGCCGCGGGCTCCGCTCGGAAAGCAGCGGAGGGAGAGGGCCGGCGTGACGTCACACGGAGCGAGGGCCAGCCGGCGTGACGTCACTCGCGGCACTCCCCCGCCGCAGCGAGCGGGACCGGAGCCGGGCCGCGTCACTTGTGCGAGGCGCGCCGTGACGCCACCGGAACGCCTCGCGGGGCGGGGCGTTGCCGTGGCAACCGGACGCCGCGCGCGGGGCGGGAGGGGCGCCGCCGCCGCCGCTGCACTGCGGCAAGGCGGGGCCGCCGCGCGCCCGGGGCGGGAGAGCTCCTCGCCGCCCCATTGGCTGCGCCCGGCGTGCGGGGGGCGGGGCCTCAGCACCCGCCCCGCGCCCATTGGCGGGGCCGCCCCCCCTCACGGCGTTCCCGCCCCTCCCCTGAGGGCGGGGCCGGGCGGTGCCGGCAGATGAGGGCGCGGCGGGTGCGGACGGGGTGTCCGCTGGTCCCGCTCGTCCTTCGGTGGAGACGAACCCCCGTCCCGCTGCTGCCCGCCCCGGATCGTCCCAAGGAGCGCCCCTGCACGTCCCGTCCCGTCCCGCTGGCCCCGCGCCTGGGAACCGCCAGGTAAACCCGGGAGGGGTCCCGGTGGAGAGCGCACGGGGGGTCGTCGGGGTCCCCGCTCTGAGGTTGCTGCACTTGTATATTGTCTGAGAGAGGTTTTTATTTTTCTAAATTAAACGCTTTGTAATTTTTAACGTTGGCTGGTACGCCGGTAAGCAGCAAAGTTGCTGTTGTTCCTCTTCGCCGCCTCATTCTGCACCATCACTTCCTTGCGTTTCAGGGCTGTGGATGAAAACTCGTGCCCATCCCACCGTCTTCACCTTTCCTTCAGGCTGTGTGCCTGCAAGGGGTAGTAATTCTTCTTTTCTACTTTAATGATTTGCTTTAAAACATAAAAATGTCTATTCAGATTGTGGGTTTCCATAATGAATTCACTCTTAGGAATCCTTTGCACCATTTGATTTGAAATTCTGAGTATTAATAGGAATTTCTGTTCTCACATATCTTCCTGTGTTGTACGTCTCAAATGACTTGGTTGGAGTTAAATATTTTGGAAACTATTTTTTTCTACAATTTTCATAATTGAGGAGGTTAACCTGAGCTTTCCTTGCAGTAACAGAGCAGAGAGAATCTGTAGGAGTTGCTTTTTGTCTTAAGAATATGATTTCTTACAGGCTTTATGTTGCTGCTTTTAGAGAGTTCTTGCATGAGACAGAATCTTGCATGTGTCTTTATATTTCCAACAGGGTTTCCTAAAGGACGAAAAGGCAAATTCTGAATGTCATGTGTAAAGCTGCAAAGAGGAGTCCCATGCTCTTTCCAGAATCTAAATAAAAATACTGTATGCCTGTAATTAAGTCTCTTCCTTCATTTGTCTTTGCAGTAATAAGCATATACAGAACCATGTTTTAATGTGCAGAATAAGCAAATAAAGAAACCTGTATGAGAGACAAAGACTTGATTCACTCTGAATGTGTCATCACGTTTTAGAGCACCTGTCATCCCTTCATGCTCTGCCTGCTTCATGGTCCACAGGGTTAATGTGTAGTAAACTTGTTACCACTGAAGCACTCTGAATTTTCCCCTGTAAATTACAGGCTCTTTTTTTTTTTATTTAAAAATTTTTATTTAAATTTTTTTTTTATTAAAAAAAAAAGCAAAAAGAAGAAAAGTTTTCCTTCTCTCTTCATTTCTTTGCCCAGTGTAATCATCCCATAGCACTTGCCCTCAAAATGGTGATTTATGGACTATTGACATTGCTGGTAATTCTACTCACATTAAGCCTATTTTATGGTGGGAAAGCAAGGGATTATAATACTCCATCACTTACTTATCTCATCCAAACATATTTTTAAACCAGCTGCTCCGTGTGTGAGCTAGCACAAGTTTTGCCAAATTACCATGAAGGGAAGGATGTTATTTGGGAAATGGAGATCTGGACTGGTCTTTATTGGGCATGGGTGGCTGCCCACAGGAAGTAATTTTAAAATGTTTGGGAATACTTGAGATAGTAGTAGACATGCAGTAGGAATCAATCTGTGTGGGTGAAATAACAGGATTGGGGCTGTGTGAGCCTGTGCAGAGTAACTCTGGTGAGCCACTCCCAGTGGTTGGGTTGTTCTGTGTAATTAGCTCCACTTTCAATGTTCTGCTACTGTTCTTTACGGTTAACAGCGTGTCAAAGTGTTTACATCAGCTGAAAACCTGGATAGAGCGTGAACTGCTCCGTGTTTCATAACCACTGGGCATTGCCACCGGTGCTGACCTGTTCTGGCCCTGTTATTTCTCCTCCTGACAGCGGAAACAGGAGATGTTCTGGGGCTGGAATGTGATTGCTACCGACATCTGTCTGCACACTGACAAAGAGAAGTCTCCACCACAGAATCAACACAGTGACATTGCCTCAAAGTGCTCTCAGGGTGAGGGATGAGGACACAGGGACTGATCCACTTTTACCTGCCAGTGGCATCTATTTTACACGGAATTCTGGGCTTGTGTAAGCTGTGACAACCTTTCTATTTTAAAACTGGCTATTTGGCGTATTTTACAGCAGATTTTATTTAGATAGGATTGCTGAAATGGTATGAAATTTTCTATAGGACTTGTCCTCTGATTTGTGGCTTTTTTTCTTCTTTTTAAATCTCATGACTGTGGGAAACGAAAGAATTCTCTCGGTGGGTTCTGGGTTTTTTTCCTTCTGATTTAATTCAGCTGCTCTTTTGAGAGGATGAAAGCTTACAGTTGCCTGCTGCTGTGATTTTTGTTTCTACCAACAAAACAAGCAGAAAAAAGAGCTGGAACAGCTTCTAGAGGGAGAAAAGGCCAGGGCTGCTATTTTGTGTCTTTTAATTATCTTTTCTTTTAGGAAGATGGTGCAAAAGAAACATCTGTGTATAGTATGCTTTTAATAACAAGTTATCAGGTGTTATCTAGGTGTATTTTCTCTCAAATTCTCTATAATTCTTGCATGGTAAGTCAAAAGTTTGTGCGTGACTTTTAAATTCTGTTATTAAGTTTCTATTCTAAGTCCCTCCTGAGCTCTTTGACTGTGTTTTACTTGAACATGAAACCTTTAATTAATGCCCACTATTCTTTCCCAGCATAAACTAAATCAGTACTTTGAACTTTTACTCTTTTCACTGGTGCTATACATAAAATCCATTTGGAAAAACTAAAAAAGCAAATTAAATGTAATCCTGTTTTATAAAGTGTTTTCTGCTGTCCTTATATGGTTTTTTCTGGTGTTCAGCTTAAAGCTGAGGAATAAGAGGTTTTTGGAGCTACTCATCCTGGCTAATAAGGAATTGGGAATGTCAGGTGTTGGGGATGAGAGTTGAACGAGATTCAGATGTTGTTTCCTGGCTCCTACAACCGTGGCTTCTAAATAATGGCAGTCAGGTGTGCTGAGCAGATGGGCAGAGCCAGAGAGACCAAAGCCGAGAATAGAAGGTTTGTAGGAACAGACAAATGTATTTGAATGTGAGTAAATTTACACTCAAATGCCCCTCTGTAGTTTAGGCTGTTTATTCTGAGATTTTGGAAGCCTTTCTCTTGTGTTGGAGCCCTCAGGGGTGTGATTTCTCCTCTGGAAAGAAGCAGCTCAGAGGAAAGGTGGATAATACCTGCTGCTCTTGGGTTGGGTTTGGTGTGCTTTGCACATCTTCTTCTCCCTCAGGGTTTTGAGAATATGTAAATTTTGTCAAAAAGCCTCAATACTTGACTTTTAATGCTGTGGTGAACACTTCCCCCAGTAATTTATGGAGTGCTGCAGGTAAAGTAGATCAAATTTAGCAAGTCATGCAGTGAGACTTGCTGTAAACTCTTTCTCTTCTAGGCTTAAGTAGCCAAAGATGAGTCGTGGATTCTCAGAAAACAATAACTTCCCCTATGACAACAACCAAATGGTTTTGGATATGATCCTGTGTTCCCTCATTGGTGTTCCTCAGCCTATCAACTGGGACAGTGTGGCAAGGCTGGTTCCAGGATATACATCCAAAGAAGTGAGTTCACTAATCAAAGAATTTGTGTGCTTTAAACAATGCTTTATGATGAAGAAAACATTTCTTGGGAGGGAGGGAAATTGAAGTTAAGATTTTTTTTTCCTGAAGTAATTTGCACTAATTGAAAATGTTAAATGAGCAGTAGATTGAAAGGAGGTGGGGGGGTTTTGTTTCTACAGAACCTGAGCATTGAAATTGAGAAATGCATTCTGCATTGTATTTCATTAGAACTTACACAGAATAAGAATGAAAGTCACTGGAAAGGAAAAATTAAAAAGTGGACTTAAAAAAAAGGTAGCTGTGCTACTGCATTCCAAACTCCATAGCTAAGACTTGGATGGAAAGGATGTCAGTACCCGCTAACCCTGTGCAGGTTGTAGTATCCTTACTAGGAAACCTAATAACTCTCTATGCTTGTTGTTAAAACTCTAAACAAGGAAGGGTTAGAGATCTCTATTAGGTAGGGAGTGCAGTTGCTTCTTTTTTGATCCTACAAAGTATGGATTTTTTCTTTCTTTGGTTGGAGTAGAGTTGGAAGAACCTCTGTATATTCATTTCTCTTTCTGGATTGCTGAATTTCCTGGTAAAATGTAGGGTTTTTTAATAATAATTTTGACTTTTTCATTTCTTGAAAGGGTGTAAGCTAAGAAAAAATGTCTTTTGCCCTTGTGATTCAGCAAAGCTGAAAGAAAACATGACAGTGGTCTTGACTTTCTTGCAAACCTAATCAAGTGTGTCAGCTCACATTTATAGCAGTGCTATTAGGCGTTGCTGTAACCTTGTATTTCAAACATAAAAATGAAGGATTGGGTGTAGAAACTTCTGCGGAACGTTACTTGCCTTTCAAAGTGCTTGGCAGAGTGCTTGGGCGCATCTCTACTGTTCACCTTGCACTGTGCACGTTAAGCAAATAAAATAGCAATATCAGTGAACCCTCTCCTCACATCAATTCATATGATTGATTAGTACATTTCTGATTACTCTGTTTTTACAGGACTGAATGGCTCAAATATGTTGAGTCCCTGTTTGAGGCAGATAAAAGTACAGACAACCCTTTATTTATCTCTTGTACATATGTGACTGGTATTACAAATTTGAGACACTGTGAATATCAGAAGGATGTCTCTGTGTGCCCCTGGCCCAAAGGGGCACTGGCATGACGTGTCTGTTAACTCAACCCTAAATAAATAAATAAAACCAGCTGCTAATGGGCCCCACGCCTATGTCACAGGAGGAGCACCTGTAGAATTAAGTAAATTTATTTGTATGTTCAAGTTACCTCTGTGAAGGACTTTGCTGAACCACACCTATAATTATGATTGTGTTGGTACAAATTTACAGGCTGGAAAGACCTTCTAGTTCATCCAAAACAGAGGATGGAAAGTTTAGAGAATTGCAGTGGAAGGCAGCAGTCCCTTTTGTCCAAATTAGAATGGAAATCGTAATGTCAAATCCATTTCTATAGCCACTCTTAATAATATTTGACCATGTTTATGGTAAAAGAACTAGTTACAAAATGAGAATTCAAAGTCTCCCCATAACTTTCTCTTTGAAAACTGGGCTTAAAATCTCACAGGGTTTAAGGAAACAAGTTCTATCTATTTTTTCTCTTTCTGTCAGAGTATTTAATTATGGTAGCTATTATTTTACTGTTTTTATATATACTGATACCACTAACAACATAGGAAGCATTTATGAGTTTCATATCAGTAACTGTTCACATGCAAAAATGTGCAATACAGTATCTATCTCAAATCATAGTTATTAAAAATGTGCTGAAAGCTACTGCTTCATTGTCCTATCATTTAATCTTGTGACAGTGTGCAAAAAGGTTTGATGAGCTAAAAAGCAGTGGAAGTTCACCTGTTGACAACCACTATAATCCCCTGATGGCTGCTGGTGGGAGTCCTGTGGAAACTTTAGCTACGTACATCAAATCCTCCTTGCTTGATTCACAGACAGAGTTTCAGGAGCCTGCTATGGGGCAGGATTCCATTACTATAACTGGTATGTTTTTAGTCATTCTGAACTATATTGGCTTTGATAATCAGTGTGTGCATGCTTCTGTCCTGAGTGGTTAAGTCCACCCAGGAATGATAGTTATTCATCTTTGGAGGGTTAAGTATGAATATAATGCATACAACAAGGCACTTGCCATTAGTTTAGTTTAAGAATCAATGTTTGCTTGGTTATTTTTAGGTAACTTGTCCTTCCAAGAGGCATAAATCTTTCTGCTGAATTCTGTTTAGGATTTTTGATGGTGTGCTGTTAACCCTACAGCCATTTGCAGTCACGTTAAGCAGCATTATTAAAATAACTGGAGAGTATTGTGAAGAAAAGCTGCAGGAAGCTGAGGAGGTGATCCCTTGAGGGCAAACCTTCCTCTTCTAACTGCAAGCCCTGTGTTTGCAATGGACAGGTACAGAGGAGTTGGAGCAAAATGTAGCTAATTTTTGCTTCAAGACAAGCTTGAGGTGACAAAAAATGTGTCTTAGTCAATTATGTGTACTAGTAATTATTGGGCAGAAGGGGACCAAACCAAGTAATTGTAAATTCAATCATAGCACAATTAAATATTGTTAACAATTCCTTTTGTACTACTTCTGTCAGAAGTTGTAATTAAATGTGTGTGTTATTCTCTGATTTTCAGTACAGAGATGTTCCAGTGACTTTAGAACTTGGTAAATGTATTTGCATGAGAAATTTCAGTGATGAATAAATAATTTCTGTGTTAAAAATTAAGATGACAGTGAAGTGTTTAAACAACATATTCTCTGTTAAAATGTCCTTCACTGATTTTCTTTGTAGTAGAAAAACACCTGTTTGACCTTTATTCAAAATGTTTTTAATAACTCTAATCAACGGATGATACTGGAAAACTGTACATGGAGGGTCAAAACTGGAAGTGCTTCCCATCAGCTTTCAATTATGTGGTTCCATGCCTGATGTGGGATGAATGCTGCTGGCACCCACAGGTCTCTGTTTACAGGATTAACAGCTTCCCAGGAGGCAGTTAACGAGCTAACTCTGCTTCTAGAATTCCTAAGACAATTAGTGCATGTTTTCTTTCTAAAAATGTAATAGATACAATGAGTGTTAATGCAGTCAAGTCCACTAATGTAATGTTTCCTTTGACAAGATCCTAGCCTTATATTATCTGTTTTCTTTGTGACTTTGGATAAAACATTTGAGTGTAATTTGTTGGTATGAAATCAGGTAATAGATCTTTTCTTCTCACAGGCTTGAGTGAACCCACCTTCTTAGTATTTGTGAGACACATCTACATTTCAGAATTGGGGATTTGAGACAATCCTATTTGTAAATGTTTTTTGTTTAATTAATTGCTTCCTAGTGGATTTATTCATGTTAGCTGATTAGGATCAAGAGTTTTGGGCCTGTTAGCAGTTTGTAGTCATGAGTAACAGCAAGAAAAGGCAAATCAGACCGTACTCATTCTGAGCTGGATTCTGGTTTTGGCTGAATTAGAAAAGTTCATTTAATACTAGGTAATTATAAGGCAAACTGCTAGTAAATCCCTCTGATTACATCTCATGACAGTAAACAAGCACAGAGGACTGCCTTTTACCTAAAGGATTTTTTATAAGCTTAATCACTCTGTAAGCTTTGGAGGGGAGGAAAAAAAAGATATGGAGCCATGTATGGTGAAGTTCAGATGTCCTCATTAATTTGGCTATGTTGCATATTCTTGTCAGCATTATTGCCTTCAATAAATGACTGTGTTCACAATGGACTTGTTAATGTATTTGCAGGCAGCACTTTCCACTGCTTGTAGTACCTTTGTGAAGATGAGCTGTTTGAAGTGCATCTGTCCTTTATTCCTGGAACAACCTTAGTGATGTAGCTCAAGGACCAGGCAAATTTCCTGGTCTGCTGTCTTTGAACATTGTTTGATATGCTCAGCTGGTTTAAGCCACATGTGTGAGAAATCTGGCAAAAACAAACACATCCTAAGAGTGTTCTGTGCTTCTCTTTAGAAGCTGCTTATTTCCAAAGCTGGCACATGATGGGTAAGGAGTGACATTGGTCTCAACTTATGTCCTGGCAGAAGCTTTGGTGTGGCAGGATCTTAGGAGCCACGTCCCACAAAGCAGACCAGGAGAGCTAAAGGAAGGGGTCACATTCCCAGAAGGAAGTGCCCAAGGCCGTCAGTCTCATGCTCAGTGTTAAGCCAGAAATTATCTGTAGCCAAGTGTAGCCCTTTTTGTTGCTAGCTGTGTCGTTCCTCCACCATGACAGCCATACTTCAGTTGCATTTCCAAGATGCTGAAGAACAAAAGATCAGGAGTTTTTGTTCTAATGCAGCCCTTGTTTCCTTACATTGAAGGAAGGCCCAGTGCAGCCTCCACAAGGAGTTGTTCTTCAGAATCTGAGAAAGATCCTGTACATAACAGTGGAGAAAGCACTGATGAAACCCAGGGGTAAGAAGAGCTTTGTGTGTTTGTTATGTCAGGGATTGTAGAATATGATTTCTGTCATAGAATTGACAGAAAGATGTCTAAATTGCTGAAATTTATCTGCTACCAGAAAGAAAACAACTGGAAACAGCCTAATAAATGCTGTAAGAAATTTGGAAACCTTCTATTGCTGCAGAAATTCAAGGAGTTGGTTTGAGAATCTGTTGTGTGCAATAAGATATTTATAAATCTATGTTCCTCTGTGTGACTGATCACTGCTGTGGCAGGAATGAGATACATACCTGGTTTTATAAAGGAGTGAAACAAGACTGATGCTCAATTACACTTTTAAAAATACTCTTGAACTAGATTTGTCCTATGTAAAGGCAGGAAAAGAGCTGTAAATTAAAATTTTTTTCATGAATTCCAGTAGCCATCCAGGTCACTTTTATTCTATCACATATCCCTGTTTTCCACACTATATAATTACACATAGAATAATGTTTGTTTGAAACCTGAGCATCTCTCTGTAGAGACAGCATTTACTAATTCTAGCTTCAAGCATTTCTTAAGTAATAGAAATTTTTTAATATACAATAAACCAAATCTTAATTTCCACTGATGAAAACTGCTGTTACTGTCCTTGGTGCCTCAGTGATTTAGGCATCTATATCTGGTTATTCTTTGAAGAAAATTGAGAAGGGAGAAAAAGTAAGTTCTCCATGTAATTTGGGTAGTATCCTATAACAAACAGGTAACAAAATTGGAGAATGGGGCTACAAATTTTCTATTTCAGCTCCCTTAATTAAATCTTCCTAATAATCTGTAGATGATATGCCTCTGTCTTCTTCATATGTCCAACAACAGTTTCTGTTAATAGTTAATAACTGCAATTTGTTTTCCCTCTGTTAATAAAACCCTGTTGACATCAGTGTTGCAATGCATGACCCAGAGTTGGAGATTAAGTCATTGGGATTTTGTGTCCTAATTGGCTTAGACTCCTAATTTGCTTTGTGGCTTTTTTCCTTTGGAGGCCAAATATGGTGATCCATGTGTGCGATGAAGCCAAAAACCTCAAAGAAGATTTTGTGTGTCCTCGAGATCTTTTGATTTCAGAGATGAAATACTTTGCTGAGTATTTGTCAGTGGATGCCCAGCGCTGGGAGGAGGTGGACATATCTGTGCACTGTGACGTTCACATCTTTGACTGGCTGATAAGATATGTCAAAAGGAACTCCAAGAAGTCTGAGGCTAATGAAATACCCACTTTAGGTAAAAGCAGATAATTTCTTTTAGGTTTGTTATTCTGTACTAATTGAAGATGAATGGTTTGCAGTTTGGCCTCAGTCTGTTTCTGACTGTTGTCAGTGGCGCCTCAGTTTTTAGCTTTTATATTTTTCAGATTCTGTGCTGCTGTAGTGTATGATATGGATATGGTATTAAGAGATGGTGAGCTCTCTTCACAGAGTAGGGAGACAAAACAATTCCTTCTCTAGCTGGGGGCCAAGGACAAATGATCCAAATTTCAGGCCCAAGAGCATAAACAATAGTGGACTGAAGAGAGAAAAACAAGAAGAATGGAACTTCATGACCTAAAGCTATAACTGGATAATTAGCTCCAATATGCAAATGGAGCAGAACTTATAAAAGTGAGAGACCCCGTGACCGGTCATCCATTTTTGTGACCATTTTGGGTTCACCTGGGGTGCAGACCTGTCTGGGCTCTTGTGCTGCCCAAGGTGGATCCACTGAGAAGATCCTTTTAATAAATCCCTACTTTATTCTTTAGCTCCATTTAGTCTCTGTTCTAGGTCAGCCTTAATAAGGCATCATCAATTGTTAGAAGAGTGTTGTGACGGACATCCTCTGGTCATTTCAGCAGATGGCTCTGCTTTGCCAGCACTGACAGCTTTGAGGAAACATGCTGAAAGTTGAAGCAATAAAAAAGCCCTAATATATTTTGGGATGTGATGTTTTTTATTAAGACTCTTCAGACCTCTTCTGACCAAGGACAGAGTGGTAGATTTTAAATGCTGATGACTGGTTTATTTGTTTCTCCTCTGCTCCCTGTTGGTACAATTGCAATGTTTTCTACAATTTCAATGCAACCCCATACAATGGTAGAAGACCTTTGTGGATTTTGAGGCGAGTTTTTAATTTTTTTAATGAGTATTTGCTACCACTTTTTAAAATGTAACTTTCTTCTCTTGGTTTGTTTATAACTTGCAATGCAAAGGTTATGTTGAAAAAATCTCAGCTGGATGTGATGGCTACAGATGGAAGTTAATCTTGTGTAATTGTTTAGTCATTGTATCTGTGAAAATTCCTTCTCCAATTTTAATAAGGTTTCCAATTTTAATAATTTTTCCAGGTTATAGTCCTACTCTGGCCACTGAAATGGTAAACCAGAAGTTTATTTCTTAAAATGGTTAAAGGTTCTGTATACTAGAAGATGGAATGACAAGTTGATTGCTAAAATAATAGCTAACACAGATGCTAAATTTGAAGTGGGAAGGATGTGAAATTACAAAAAAAATCCATGTAAAAAACTCCTCCTTTGTTCTGTTGCCTTCTAGAACCATCAAATGTCATCTCAATCCTTATTTCTTCTGAGTTTCTGAAAATGGATTCATTAGTAAGTATTAAGAAAAATTGATTTTCTGGCATGAGGGCACAGTTAATTACCAGATGTCTTAACAGCTTGTTTGTTGTGCTTTAGCTGTTACATAAACAGGTGCTGCAATGAGAACATTTTGAGTTTTTTAACACTACTTCTATTCAGTGCAGTAATCCAATATTTGCAGAATCTCAATACAATAAAGAGTATGTTATTTCTAAATGTGATAGTGTGATCTAGAGTGTTTGTTTTATATCCTTTTTTGCTTGAATGATAAGCCTGCAATTTAGGATCTGATTTTCCAGCTCTGTATAAGGAATAGCTGCTGACTTGGTTAAAATGTTTGTCAAAAGTTCTGTCATTGGGGTGACCCACAGTAAAGCACTGTGAGTCTCTACTGTTGAAGTTGAGATCCATGTGTTTTGTGGTTCTATTTTAACAAGCAATTGGAAAGTTACTGAATTTTTTTGAGGAGAACATAAACTAGGTTGTGTTATTCAGGATCAACTTAAGGCAAATCTGAGGCTTGTTTTTTATTTTGAAGTCAAACTGAAATAGTTTTCCAAAACACCACACTTAAAATAAGTCTTGAAGCAATTAGAGTGGGGTTTTTTTTGTTGTCCAGAATTCCTTAACATTCATATTTCTATTTTTTCCTAGGTAGAGAAATGTATTAATTATTGTCACAAAAATATGAATGCTATTGTAGCCACACCATGTAATATGAACTGTATCAATGCTAATCTTGTTACACGCATTGCTGATCTCTTCAGGCACAATGAGGTGGAAGAGTTGAAGGACAAAAGAGACAAATTTAAGAGGTAACTTTTTTGCCCTATAATACACTTTTGAAGTGCTGTTGAGCTTTGGGATTGTATTTCTTTACAGCTATGACTGTGCCATTTGAAATTATATATTATATATATTCTATGGAATGTATTTTTAATGCAGAATATAACGGTGTGACTTCAGAACTTTATACTAAAATCATGAGCAAGAGGAAAGAGCTTTTACAGGAAATGGGCAAACAGAAAGGCCACACTAGCAGCATGGCATGGGCAAGTTATTCATGAATTCTCACATGGGAGCAAGGATTAGGGGGAGAAAACTTTTATGGGATGACATGCTCCTAATTTGTAGAGAATGGTTTGGCTTCAGCATCCTGTGAACTCGGATGTTTGGACTTAGAATTCAGGATGGCTGGGAGCCTGAATAGTTGTGCCTGAATGTTCTTTCACACATCAGGATCCCAGCTTAGTATCAAGATAAGGGCCGATTATTGGAATGCAGACTGACAGACAAGCAGGGTGAAGGTCAGGGAGGATTTTAGTCTGTAGGGATGAAGGCTTAATCTTAGAATGAAGTACAGCTTCACAGCAATATTCACTAATTCAAGGTTTTTTAGTCAAGGTAGAAGTTGGCAGTTAATATTGGCAAGCATTTTAATAAAGAAAAAATCAAAATATCACTTTTATTACACTTGTGTAAACATGAGATTGAGAGGATAATTTAAAGGAAAATTATATTAAAAGCTAGATTCTGTGAGTGACTGGGCTTGTCAGAATGTGATTGTTAATCTCACTCTACATACAGCAATTTTCAGGTTTTTTTTCTAACGGGTAAGCTGTGTTGCTATCATTAATAGTAAACTTTTCTGCAAGAAGATTGAGAGACTCTTTGATCCGGAGTATATAAATCCAGATTCTAGAGGAAATGCAGCAACTTTATACAGGTATGGCATTTTTATATGGCTGCTTCAATAGCAAGGACAGTCCCTGTTCTTAGAAGCCCTGCTCTTACTCCAGTGCTTTCTTTCCTTCTTTGTCTTTTTTTCTTTTTTTTTTTAACCTAGGTGTTGTTTATGTAAAAAGTTGCTAACCAAAGAAACTGAAAGGAGAATTCCTTGTGTACCAGGAAAAATCAACATAGACCAACACGGGAATATTGTCTATGTTCATATAAGGTAGTGAATATGTACATATGTAAAATGTTTCTTCAACTCTGATTTTGGGTGATTTTAGAAGTACTACATACTCAGATGCATTACAAAATTAAGTCACAGATACGTGAAGAGTGTATGAAGCATCTTAACTTCTTACTATTCTTATTGTGTTACCTAGGAAAAAATAAAACAGGAGGGATGTGATTATGATGATCTACTGAAATTCATTCAGCAGTGCTGCTGCTGCTGAATGGAAATGGGAAAACTGCAGCCATGATTACTGTGAGGGCTATTTTTGGGTTGCACTGCTTTAAATAGAAAATACTCAGCTACTTCTTTCATCAGATGGCTTTAAGATGTATGCAGTTGATGGCAGATTGAATAAAGTGCTGCATTTCTGCAAGGTTTTTTAGTGAAGGATAGACCCCTCTATGCCAGCAAAGAAAGCCTAAATAGCATTTCCGAATCTGACTTTGTACTATCAAATGCTCAACCTGCTTAAAGGCTGCTATAAATAAACTTTGCCAGTTGTTTTTCTGTTCCTGAAGTGTTTGTCAGAGGAGCTTGTAGGACCTTTCTGTATGTAAGCTTGATTCATTCGGCACAAATGTTTAATTGAATTGTCTCCATGACTGTGAACAGCTGGATTCTCCTGTTAATGGAGATCAGTCCATAATGAGCTGCAGTTCCCTCCTTCCCCACATGCCCATTTTAAGGAGAATGGTGGGAGATTAATGACAGGAGACCTTTCTCATCAGATCCCTTTTGTTCAGAACAACCAGAACAGTTCCATATCAGCTCCCACCAGTTATTCCAAGGTGTGGAGTTAAGTTCTGCCTAGCATCTACATAGAACCAAATCCTGTGCCCCTGTCCTGACCTATTTAAGATCATTGGTGATTAGTCACATGAAATTAATTAATTGTATTACTTTGCTTAAGCTGCTATGTGGCTGCTCTGCAATTCCCAGCAGATAAATGTACAGGGATTTAAAGTTACTCAGGGGATTATCTAGATTCTAATTATTTGCCTTGTGCTACTTGTGATGCTTTGCTACACAGAATATATTTTCTGAGAAGTGATGCTGGCCACTAATGAATTCAGGCTTAGGAGCTAATACAGTTCTATCTTTAATGATTTAAAAATAGGTTTCTATTTATTGGTCCTCTAGTGATGCCTAGAACTGACTTCCAACTGGATGTGCTGCTTGCTTAGTCTAGGATAGGCACACATTTAATAAAAATAGTTCAGGCCAGGGCTTAAAATTGGGAGGAAATTTTATCTGCTCTTTCTGAAGATAACATGCCCCACTGCAAGTTGCACGTTCTCTTTTGAGTTCTGAAGAGGTGCGTCTCATTTGATCACAAGGAAGGAAAAAAGTCCTGTATTTTTAATACTAGAACTGCCAGGTATGTACCTTCATCAAAAGGGCATGAGCTTGTGTTTTCAAATGTAGTTCTTAGCTACATAATTATTGTAACATTATTGTGTTACAGATAACACAACAATAATTACTTAGCTAAGAAATACAGTTTAATAGATAGAAGATGTTTATCTTAGCTTGTAAATTTGCAGTGTATGGATCTTGAGATGAATCAAGCTGTAATTCTTTGTTATGAGTAAGTTTAAGATGTTCTGAAAGAATAAAGTCTATTCTGTCATGCTCTGAATTTAGTAATTATAGTCTGCCATTGCATCCCTCCTGTTGTAACTACTGGAGCCTTTTCACCAGTGTGTTTTCTGCTCTTTCTCCACCTTGTGGTTCTGGTACCAGGATCAAAACAGAGTCAAGACTCTGATATTTTGCTTTTTCAGAGACAAAACCTGGGAAGTGCATGAGTATTTAATTGGCCTTCACGAGGAAATGAAATCCTGGCGGGATGTTTATTGGCGTCTTTGGGGGACTGTCAACTGGTTGACCTGCTCAAGATGTAAACAGGTTAGGTAATTTCACTTGGCTTGTGGTGGGTGACTTTGAGGGGTGAAGCAGGGATTAAAGCAGTTTGGATAATATTTGGTAATAAAGCTAGGTGCACGTTCTTTACAGTGCACAATTTTTATTTCCATAGGTCATCTCACCTCTCACTCTCTGTCTTTTTGCTGATGTAGTCTTTCCTGTGCACTGAATTCTCCCACTGCCAGTACCATTTGCAGCCAGTTCTTTATCCAGGTGTAGCGAGTGCTCTGGGCTCAACTGGCACAGGAGTGTATCCCTGTTGTAACCAAAAAGTTCTTCGGTTTGACCCTACAACCCTCCCAAAGGTACTTCAGCTCTCCTTTAAAAGAGCAAAGCACGTGGTGGGGTGGGCAAAAGTATGTTAGGAAAATGGATCTTTTTCCAAAATAAGGATTGTAATTCAGAAGTTAAACTTTTGTTATTTTACTGACTGGAATCAGTTCTTCCCATAAACTCCAATATTTTCTCTTCTGCCTCTGTGTATTGCAGGGCTGCAAAGTGAGGGATCATATGGTGGAATTACCTCCAGAAAGTGAAGAGGGGGATGCTTTGCCATCGCAAACTGCTCAGATCTTGAATGACCTGCTGCATCATAGAGATGTTATAGTTGTTCCTTTCACTAAGGATGAGAATAGGTAAGAACATTGTATTGTGTTACTGAAATAACTTAGCCCTCAACAGTGAACATGTGTGCTTGTTACTTTGGTGTTCTCTCCCATTTCAAAATGAGTCATAGGACTTTCTAAGGGTAACTTCTTTTTGATTGTTTACTTGGGAATTGGGAAGTGAAGAACAAGTACTTCCTCCTTTCACTTTTCAAGCAGGCTTTTTGTCACTCAACCTCCATAAGCATTCACTGCTATCTTTATATTTTAATGTTTTGCTGCCAAGATGTTATGTGTCTGACTCAGAGGTCTGTCTGCTTTCTTGATACATGTTGAGTGAATTGAGACTAATACTGAAGCAGTGGAATAGAAATATTTATTTTTGCTTTATGTATTTCTAAGCGATTCTGGTATTGGGCTCGGTGATGACAAAGGCCTTGAATGTGATGTGCTTGTAGAACCAAATACACCATGGGGCCCTAAAACTGGAGAAATCAATGCTGTGAGTGCTGATGCTTTCCTTCTTTTCTTCTAATAATGAGGATTTTTTGAAGAAGTTCTCAAACAACTTTTAATAAAAAATAAACCCCATACATTGTTGGAGTAAGACATAGGTACAAAATATGGTAAAAAATAGGTAAAAAAATGGTTGGTGAATAGGCAAAACTTTTTCCATATCTGCTGGAAATATTTCAGTACATAACTTCCCTCCTGATCCTGGACTGATTTTTTGATCAACTGTAAATATTTTTAATGCTAAGCTTGCTTCCACTAAAACATGAATTGACTGCATTTAATTGGTCAGTGGTTTTCAAATTATTTGAGCTTAATCATTCCACCAAAATTCAGAGCTCAAAATGGGAGGAGGCCTGGAAGTTACCAGTGTAGAGTGCTGTACTGTAACATACCACTCCTATTTGTAGAATTCTCTCACTTTTTAATTTGAAATGTTATTAGTTCTTATATGCCTTTTTTTTCTCTTTGTAACTACAGTTTTTGTCTCTGAAGAACTGGACTTTGCAGCTGGTTAGTAAAATATTTTACTAATTTTAAATATTTGGTCGTCTGTACTAGCAAAGAACTAGCTTTGATTTTTGTCTTATTTTCTAATAAATGAGACAAAAAATGTATTTTTTTTGCTTTAATTTGGAGGTTGCAGTATAGCAACAGTTTTTACAAGAAAGTATGGTAAGTGTGAAGTACTACTTTGTTCTTAATAGAAATGAGAAATTCCTTTGTGTTGCCGTGCGAGACCAGCTCCGGGCGGGCACCTGCGGGCACGGCGGGAGGAGGGGAGAGGCAGCAGCCGCTTTTCCCCTTTGGCTCTGCGAGGCTCAGTTCTAGCGCGGGAACAGACGAAATGGCGACACGGGGCTCGGGTGCGAACACGTGTTTATTGTAGAAGCGTGTTCCCGAGGCACCGAGTGGGGGGCTCGGTTATACCCCGTGCCGGGGCCAATGGGACGGGAGGCAGGGGACAGGGCCAGTGAAACCCCGGGGACCGCGACGGGAAAGGTAGGGGGGAGGGGGGGCAGGGACGGACTGTGTGATGAGGGGAAAGGAAAGGTGGAGGGGCGGGGGACAGGGACCGGGACCGCATGGCGAGGGGGAGTGATAAGGGAACGCAGGGTCGGGACAAGGGACCGCGGGGGGAGTGGGAGTGAGAAGGGGACGCAGGACAAAGGGGGAACGCGTGGGAAAGGGGGAGGAGGAATGGGGGGGGGGGGGGAAGAAGAGAAAATTACAAATCCTACACCTTTGAATGTTTTTGTAAATGGCAACAAGCCACACTAGCACTGCATGCATCAGTTATTAATAGTTTTTTAGTCTGGCAGAAACATAAATCAAAATATCCAAGGTTTTGAGTATCTGTCTCTCTTGGCTGGTCTGAGGTGCTTCACGTCTTCATTGTTAAGCTTCATCATTTCTCATTACTAGGCACTCATTATCACTTATTTAGATAAACGTGTATATGCAAACAATGTAAACATCACGTTACTGAACATTTCCATAATTCTGTGCCTATCTATTAGGAATTACGCACTCTTTGGTCACTGTGATAGGGAACTATGCTGGATATCAGCACCTGCAAGACAAATTTAATATATCATTTAATAGAAAACTAGCCTCACTTTTAATCTCTGGCTTCTCCTGGTGTTGGTTAGAAGCAGCAATCACTGTTATCTGAAGAGGAGGAGTACACCACGGGCTCAGAGGTCACAGAGGATGAAGTGGGGGATGAAGAAGAAGTGTGCAAGAAACCAGGTACATCAAGTCTTTACAGTCCTCGTCTCTGGAGTTATCAGATAGGGATTTGAGGCTGCAGAAGTCCTTTGTAAGCAGATTTTGAATATTAAGTGTTTCAAAAATAAAATTCAAAGTTACTTGAATTTTATCTCTAGGTTTCCTGTGGTTAGATACAAATCACCCCACTGCTTAGTGCCATCAAAAGTCACTGTAAAACAAGAAAAGCTGCAGCTATTAATATCTGAGAACTCCCTGGAATTATCTAGCACTTACTTTGCAGGAAACTCTCAAATTAATGAGATTTCATGTAATAAATGTTGGAAGAAAAGGCAGCAATTACATGACTACTTTTACATGCAAAAAAAATTTTGCATATTTGTCTTTTGATTACACAGAGGAATGACTGGTTAATGTAGCAAAAATCGTGTCTGCATTGAAGCTAAACTTTATATGATCTAAAAAGAGTTATTAATTTTTTAATGTGTTATTTGGTTTAGGAGCATGGAAAGCCAAAAAGCAACTTCTCCTTTTCACCCTACTAATGATTCATTGGAAGAGAATTAATCTGATTTGTTCTTTTTGTTGTTACGCAAAGGGCAATTGGAATTGTACGTGTTTTAAAAAATATATACATTTTGAAAGAAAATTTTTTAATTTAAATTTAAACTTTTTTGATCTGATATGGCTCAGAATTTAGTAATTGAATTAATATGGTCTAAAGTGTTGCTTGTATGTGCATTAATTCTTAGATGTAAAAATGTATGCTGTTATGTGTAATCACTCTGCCTTTTAAATGCATACTCAAGTTTCTGTATATTTCTCATAGAAAAGCATTTCAGTAATGTGTGTCAGTGTGCCTGCAACAGTAATAAAAGGAAAACAGACTGTTGATTTACACTATTTGAAAAGAAATAGAGGGGGAAAATACTTTAGTAGCTCTGTAGTTGAGAAATTCCAAGTAACTGAGGGTATGAATAGACATTTCTTCCATTAGCAGGAAGAAAGGAGAAATTAAAGAAATCCTACAGGCACCCAAAGAAAGCAATTTCTTCACCTAGTGTTCAGAAAAGGGAGAAGCCATCTGATAAGGTAAAATCACAGCTGTGAATCCAGGCTCTCTGGCTAGCTTAAACAATGAGGAATTTTCTCTAAGTTTTGGATTTGACCTTAGAAAACCACATTAAATGTGTTGCCTTTTTTCTTCAACAGTCAAGTTCCCGAGATGCTTCTCCATTCATGTAAGTCATTTTCAAAGCCCTTGAGAATACATTTTAGTATCTCCCTCTTTTAAGCTGTTCCTGATAACAGGGTGTGTGCACTTTTCTCTTGCAGTGTGAGCATGCAGCAGAACAAATGGGATGCCTCCAGGTCCCTGAGATACAACCAAGATGCTCAAAGAGAAGATGGTCTGCTCTTGCATGAGTTTAGCTTTCATAAAGTTAACATTATGCAAAGAAACTGATCCAGTTAATTTTCTTAAAATTCAGTTAGTTACATCCCGGTTGGGTGAATTGAATCTCAGATACAGCAGTGGGATTTGGGGTGTTTGGGGGATTTATGTGCTTTATTTGGAATGTCAGCACAGAACCTACACAGATAAATGTGTCATCTCATAATTATAAAATTATGCAGCTATTTTTTTCCTGCATCCTTTGTTGTCTGTGCAGATAAACAGAGAAACATCCACTTCCATATCTTAGTCTCTCTGACTAAAAAGATTCAGAATTAGATTAATTTGTTCTGCCTTTTTTAATCTCTCCTGAAACTCTGGTGTGATTTTGCTGCTTTAAAAACTTCTGCCTCAAAAGTATTTCCTGAGAATTTGTTCTCAGTGTAGTGCCTCAGGCTGATTCTGGTATCTACCAAGGCTGCTGAGGCTACATCAGGATTTAGGAGCCTGGTTGTTCAAGATTTTTATATGAACTAAAAAAATTACAAAATCTAGTATCACTGAAGTCTGTGTCTAATCCTGCTTGTGTTCAGTAGCAAAGAAAAACCTTTGTTCTAAATATCCTTCCTTATTTCTAACAGATCAGAGAAGAATGTCTGAGATCACAGGGCACTTAATAAAAATGCGACTGGGAGACCTTGATCGAGTCAAGTCCAAAGACAGCAAAGAAGTAAGATTTGTCCTGGCAAAATGTAGTGTTTGCAGAATTGAAGTGAACCTTGGTTAACAAAAATATTAAACACAAATGAAAATAACATCTATTCAATACTTAAGCTATAGAATTAATTTTACCAATCTTAATTTTGTTTCAAGCGTGATTTTTTTAAGGTTTGAAGTTTAAGATAATATTTAAAGTTTGCTTATTTTAAAAACTGCTCATGGAAAATAGAATGGATGTAAAAATATCAATGCTGGATTGTGTAATGGGCAAAAGCATGCCACAGATTGTGCTGAATATTAGTGATATTTATGGAAAGTCACTGATTACATTGAAATCATGTCAAAACTTGATTTTTTTTTTTCTGGATTCCAGTATGCAGGAGGCATTTATTCTAGACTTGAAGCTCAGATAAAAGCCTCAGCACAGGTCAGTGCACGTCAAAGCAATGCTGAGAAGAATCCCAGGTAAGATTTTAAAATAAAAGCAAGGAAAACTCATAGATTTTGGGAGTGTGGAGGGTGGTGGGCTTTAAATAAGTATTTTAAAGAAAAACATGCTTCATTTCACACACTTCTTATGGATCAGCTTCCACCGAGTTAAGCCACATGAGGTGCAGAAGCTTTCCTTGGTCTCCCAGTAGAGCTGGGAGAATGAAACTCTCGGAGCCATGCTGGGGGGAGGTTCACCGCAGCTCCAACATCGTTTTCTTTTTGGGAAATTACAGAAAACTGAAATGTGTTAGCCAAAGTTTTTAGCTTGTAATTTGTCCACCTTGTAGGACAAAACCAAAAAAAACCCTACACATCAAAAACCTGCATTAATAATGTAAAAAAAATAATTAATAATGTAAATATGTTTCTCATGTGTTTTTAACTCAGGACAAAAACCCGTTTTGGTCAAGGCCGTCCGACATAAGGAATCATGGACATGCTTTAGCCAGAACTCATTACTGCTTCCTGAAACTCCATTGCACTCTGACATATGGAGAATGCACATCTCTGAAAGCTTTCCGTGACTTATTTATTACTTTAAGCCTTGTAAATTATTTTGTGTTATAAACGAATGCAAGCCCAATAAGGTCTGTACTTATTTTAATTGTAAATATATTATTTGATAAAGTTAAATTTGATTGCCTTTTTTTGGCTATTGTGTTAAGTTGCATAGAAGATATTTTATAAATCTGCAAAATTAAATTATCAACTTTATTTATGAGGGAAGATACAAATATGCCTTTTGTATGCTAGAAATACTGAAAAGGAAAAAGCAAGACTACTGAATTCTGAATGCAGTCAGCAGCATTAACCCAAGCCTCATTGTGTACTTATACTGTGTTGTATTTGATGGTACATTTTAGGTCAGTCTTCTGGGGATTTGCATTTAAAGTCCATGACAATACCTGTGATTAGACTAGTTTAAACAAAATTTTCATGCAGTTCTGAGGCTTCCTTATGTACATCACACAACTCCCACTCCTCTGAAGGTGGGTAGCAGGTAGGGACTAGACCTCCAAAGATGCTCTCAGTGCCGTGATGGTGCAGCATTGCATCTTGCATGTGAACCGCTTGCTTTTCTTGTAAATGAAATCTGTACCCATCCCCATTCGTGACCCCTCCTGCACAGGACAGTGCTTTGTTCCCTTCTAAAACCCAAACCTTGTGATGCAAAGCAGTTCGTTCTCTAACTGATGCTATGCCATTAAATTTCTGAGCAGATTAGTAACACTGCACCTTTCAACACAGATGTATCATTACAAAGGCTTGTGCATGTAGATCTTTTGAGTCTAGTTACTCCCTGAAACCTGCCTGATTAACACTGTTTAGAAGTCAGATGCACTTTCAAGTTCTGTATTTGGAGCAATAGACCACAAATCCAGGGCTACCAAAATGAAATAACTTGCCTAGAAAATATGTTACATATTAGCAGAGAAAATGGCAATAATAATGATAATAATAATAATAACAATAATGATGGCTGAATTCAAGGAAACACGTTCTGACTTTTTGAAACAGGTAGAAAGAGAGCTCAGGGAAAGCTTATTCCAACTCCTGGCTGTACAATAAATTGTGAGTTTGGAATTAAGTCAGCAAGTTTCTGGGTGGGAGGGCGGGGTGGGGTAAGGAGAGGGAGATGTGTTTAAATGCTCTTCTCTCCATTTGGGCTTTTTTTTGTCTTGTTTCTTGATGATTTTTGGTAGGGTTAGAAGACTAGGATAGCAATACTTGAAAATACTGCTGTCAAGGTGGAAGATTTTTATTGAAACAATCAGTGTTCCTTGTGTGTTTTGTCCAGTGCTGTAGCAAATTTGGAGCCCAGTGAAACCAACAAGCAAAACTGGATTTCAATGGCTTTGATATCAAGTGGGAGCTGTAACTTTGCAGGAGTGCTTTAATCTGTTATCAAATAAATAAGGCTTTGTGAATCCCTCAGGCCTGTTTGCAAGTTCTAATGCAGTTTGAAGCACTTGTAGTCAATGTTGGAAAACTGATTGTTGTTTGTTGAAAGTATTAACCAACCCATCACATATGAAAAATGCAGTAGAAAAAGTGTTTTGCTACAATTTTGTGACTTCTGATAGAGGGTTGTTCCAAATTCCCATGGTAAACCTGTGGTGAAAGTTGCAGGCTGCATGTATGTGTGTTTAGTTTTCATAGAACTACTGACTAGAAGAAAAAGGAAAATTCTGCTGGTTTTGTTCTGTGGGGAAGTGCCAGTTCTACATGCCAGTATTGTTTTGCGCAAAAATATTCTTGAGCATATACAAATAATATACATGATGTGCAGTCTTATCTTTTTTCCCCATGCCAACCACCTTGAATTTTTATCTTGTATTAATTTTGAAATTTTGTCTTGGTTTAATGGAAATAAAAATTATTAATTTAAGAAGTGTGTGAGTTTTTTATAGATGCTTTTATAAGAGCTATGTCCATAGATACTGTTTGATGGTCTCAATCATGCGTGTGTATTTGTGATTAAATTGCAGCATCCTCATATAGGCTTTTTATCTGTCAAGAACAGGATATCATTAAATGCAAAGCTACTCCAAACTACAAGAACTTAAAAAGAATTTTTGTCTGCTCAAGTTTTGAAGCTGGACTAAAAATTCCTCAATGACCTGCACTACAACTGACCCAAGTATGCAAAATGTCAGACTAAGCTATGTTTAAAAAAAATATACCTTTGCTTTGCACTGTCACAGTGCAGATTGTTTAAATGGTACAATCTGTGAATACAATTTGTTTCCATGATTCTTTTTCTAGGAATTGCTGTATGGATGTCCTGTATTTGTGTAGTTGGGCTATTGGGAAGGCTACAGTGTACATCCTGCTGTCACATGTGGGTATAAATGAATTTACTGCACTCTGGAGCTGTGCCTGTCTCCTGGATGCCCAGAAATCTTGGAGAAAAGGATAGAATTTTAAATTCAGTGTTGGCTCCAAGGGAAAAAGATGTTGTGTTAGAAGTGTGGACATATGGTTGCCCCAGTCTGTGAATAGTATGGGCATGTTTAATGTGACTGAGTAACACCTTTCTCTTGGCCTGAAGGGAATCAGTGTTTTTAAAATCATTGTTTCCTGTTCTTGTTGAGTGCTCAGACATGTGGGATTGTTTTGGGAAACTGCTCCTGTGCATCAGATGCTTGCTTGAGCCACTATATGAAATTTCTGCTTCCATTTAGGCACCTCACTCCCCACTCCAGGCTGGTGTAACACCTTAAATTATTCCTGATTCCAAGAGAACAGCGCAGACATTCCTCCTGCAGCTCAGTGAAAATTAACCTTCATGAACTCTACCACTGTGTTCTGAGCTTTTTTCCTCTATTTCTTAATAATTAGGTAATCACAGAATCCTTTGGGTTGGAAAAAACCTCCATGATAAAGTCTCACTTTTGAGCCAGTAAAGAAGACTTGACTCATGCTAAATTTATCTTATCATAGGAATAGATTTACTGCTGAATCCCATTCTGGCTGTATCTATAAATAAAAGCAGCCAAAGGCTTTTCCAGGCTTGAGGCCAAGTGACAGCACAGAATGGCTGTGTTCCTGAGGTCAGGGGCTTGTCCTGTCTCTGAGCAGCACCATGGTGGATGCTGAATGATCCATCAGCTCATTGGAAGGCTACAGCAACTGGCAAAGCTCAACAGGACTGTGAGCTCCTCTACTTTGGGAATCATAGGGGCATTAAGTGCCAAGTTTTGGGAAGTCCTGCTGTTGTTTTGAACCAAGACCCTCACAGCAAAACCACTGTTGCAGCTTCCAAAGAGAGAATTAACAGAGTTGTGCTGCATCTCCGCAGCAGTTTTCATCCTATACCTGCCAGTAGGGGTTTATGTACACTAGGAGCCTTTTTCCTTCAGCTTTTGGGCTGTTTCCCCATGGATAATCTGGGAGATCTTGCTAGAGTTAGATCCTCTAAGGTCTAAGCCTCTCATGGCTGAGCTTCCAGCTCTCTGGGCACCCTCTTGCTAAGAGAGCTCCCAGAGAACACTGAGGCTGCTTTGGGATATCCAAAAGTAGGTCTTTTATTAGTGGCTTAAGGCATCCAGCACATTAATATTTCCAGTGGTCAAGAGGATTTGTTGCTAGAACTTTTTGGTTAACAAATATCAGATGATGTAGGCTCTGGCCTGGCTGTGATAGCCTGAAGGTGTTTGGTGAATTAGGTAAGGGAACTTCTTTTTTTCTTCTTCACAGGAGACGTTTTATGCACAGACCTGCCTTCCTCCTTTGCCACATAAACTTTCAAAGTCTTGGCCATTGTAGATATGGGGAAGCATCAGCCCAGGGAGGAAAATTGCCTACCTGAGATTGGCACCAGCAATAAATAACACCACTGAAGGCATAATCACTGCTGCATGTGGCCCTTGATCAAAAAACATGGTACCTATGCTTAAACTTCTTTTAGTATTTCTTTAATTGCTTCTGCTTGAGTTGTTCCCACATTTCATTTATTCAAGGTTAGGACAGCATAATGGTAGTTTTATTTTTAGTTGTTTTATGCAGTTTTATTGTATTTTGTGTTCTCATTCAGCCTACAGTAATTACTTTAGTGTCCACAATGTTTAAGCATGCTGGCACAATCACCTTGGGCTGGCAGTAGTTTCCTTGCTGTGTATTCAGTTGCTCCTTCCAATTCAAGGTATATTTACCTACAAGTGATACATTCAATCATGTAGTTTGTTTCCATTTTTGTAGTCTTTGATGTTCTCTACAAGATTAAAATATTGGTGGGTTGGGTTTTTTTAGGTAACTTAATTGAAGTAAAATATTCTGGCTGCCTGCTGTACTTATTTTCAGTGTATAGTATCTGTAAAGTACTATACATGCTTAAGAGGTGTCTGCTTTTATCACATCAAATAGTAATCAGTTTTCAAACAGGAATTCTGGATTTATTCCTTCTGGAGCAGTTATGTGAAGATACTCCGCCATCACTGCGAGATCAAAAGGGGCAGTGCTGGTCCCTTTGCCTCTTGACACACCCCGCTAATTTTATTTCCCAGGGAATATGTAAATTTCTCTCACAATGGCCAGGACATCTTGCTAATTTATTCTCAATTGGAAAGTTAAAAATGCACTTGTCATATTTTGTGTCACAGCACAAATGTGGGTTTCCTTGTTGGTTTATTTTTTATTGCCCAGAAGGACTTTGATCTCACAAACTGAAAATGATAAGCATGTTATATAGTTTGTGGGTTGCTCTCAGAGCAACCACATTCCAGTTTTTTGCCTTATTCTTGGTGAAGCATTTGTCAGGATAATAACTAACCTGTGATATGGCAAATGAAATTATTCTTTGCTAATATTCTATATAAGACACAACTATCTGGTTTTGCCTTGAGTTTGATATTTTTCCTGCAGTGCTCATGGCTCTCTCCAGAGCTCTGGTTTTCGCTGTGGCTGGCTGGGTTTCGTTCCTCTGTCTCGATGCGCAAAGTGAGTATTGTTATGTTTATGAATACCTGAGTATTTTACTGCTTTTATTGAAATGGAACAAAATTAAATTTATTAAATTCATACAAATCACAGACCTAAAAGTTTAAAATACTTTGATTTATTGATAAAAAAATACCTAAGCAAGCAGTCTTGGTGCCCTTGGAAGTCATATTTGGGCTTTCAGGGACTGAGTGATAGACAGGTGAAAACCATGTTCTTGTATAGTATATACAAGGGTTTTTACAAGTTTTCTTTATCTTTGGGGAGTTTGTTTATTTTATATCTGCAGCAGTCTATAATTTAAATATGTAGGCTGAAGCTGAGTCTTGAGATGGATAATTTTAAAGTTGTAATCAGTTGAATTCCTTGCTGCTGCTGCTCAGATAAATTAGATTGGAGTAGTTACCAGTGTTACTTCTGCTCTTCACAGTGATAACTACCTCACTAAAAGTTCTGTTTGGTGTATTGAGGCTTCCTGAAAGTGAAAATTGCCAAATTTTTGGTTTTCACTGCTCCAGAGCCTAGGTTTTAGTACTCAGAGATGGAGTGGTGAATTAAACCTAAATCCAGCAGCTGCTGACTAGAAATAGTCATTAGGATTCTATTCAGTGACTTGTGTAGAAATCTGCACACTTATAAATGAGATCATATAAAGTGATGCAGATATGAAGGCGTCTACCTAGCCAGGGGAAAATAGCCCACTACTTGTTTATCCCAAATGTCCCTTTGAGTATCCATAAGGATGGCAAGGATAAGAAGTAGGAACATTCTTAGCATTGGTGCAAACCCACATAAAGGCCACAAGAGTTGCACAGGTATCTGTAGAAGTATGGATTGCACTCTGGAAGCTTTGCAGCTAAATTCTAGTCAGGGAAGGGGAGAAAGTTTTGGTGGATTTCTGGATTTTTGTGTGTATAGCTTGCAGGTCTTAATGATTAAACAAAAAAGTCTGTCACTTTTGTCACACAGAGAAAATGTAGAGAGGTACAAGAAGCCACTTAGGAAAGCTACTTGTCATGGGAAAAAAAAGTATTCCCAAAGGGCTCCTTCTCTAAAAGCTTAAGGAGAGTAAATTTTACGGGAAAAACTCCTGGATTCTTGCTACCATTTCTGTGGGGAATAGCTTTGTGTTTATAATTGTCCTGGGAGCAGAAAACAATTTCAGGGTCAAGGTACAAGCGTAGTTTCGATTACGGTCTCCACAAACGGTTCATCAGGACACTATTGAGCAGTGACTCACTCTTGTCAGACAGTAAAATCCTAGATTGGACAGGACACCAATGTTTGCTTCTCCCTGTCAGGTATTGCTTTAAACCCTTCAAGATGCCACCATGGTAAATGTCCTGGAGCTGAATTTGAACCCTTGTGTGCATCTGGGTTTGCATAGCATCAGCTTATTTACCTTCTACTAGTTCTGGACACAGTCCCTTCGTGTTCTTTGTACATTACATTTCTGTTTCTTTTTAGAAATCACAACTATCAACTGTGATGTACCACCCAGGCCACTGGTGCTCTCAAGCTTTTTGGATGGATATACAGGTAAAATCAGGATTCTAACCTAGAATTGTCTGATCTCCTCCCAAATGCACTTCATTATCTCACATAGTCAGTGGATTTTATAATAAGTCTGTATTATTAATTGATTTACATGGATATGCAGTGTCCATGGCTGGATGCAGCAGCTGCCTACATGAAATACTGCTTAGTGGAATAAATAAATATAAGCCCCCAAATTCCCTGACCCAAGAATCTCATTTTCTGAATAGACACATCAGACAATGGGAAAGAAAATGAGCACAGAAAATGTTTTCAGTTCACTTTGTCCAGACAGTATTTGATGTCCTTAATGGATATCCAGCAGTTTTACAAGGCAAAGCATTAAGTTATGGCCAAAGCTTTCCCTTTGGGATATGTCATAACCCTTAGGATCTCCTGCTCACTATCCACAAGCAAACTTCACTGCTCCTGGTTTTCAACAACATACAGAAAACAAACATGATCCAGAACAGTGATTTTTTTTTTTTTTCAATCACTATTGAAACATTTATTTTGAGTTGGAAGCTTAGCTGCTGTGTCTGACTCTTGCATGGAGTTAGGAAGAAAGATAACTACATTTCGCTCAGATTCCATTTGATTTTTAATCAGCCAGCAAGAACTCTGGCCTTCTGTGTGCATTATATGTGTGAATGAATCTGCTGACATAGCTGATGAATAAGCAAGAGGGACAATCAGCTTTAATTTTCCCCCATTATTTCTTTTTATTTGGCTTTCTCCTCTGGAGGGAATGCTGTTTCTGAGGCAGCTGCTTGATACTTCTTGGCTGAATGTATCCAGCTCTGCATGGAGAACTGGACAGCCTGTGGCAGCAAGCAAAGATGGATTTTGTTTTCCTGGAGAGTTTTCAGCACTGCACACAGCAGGGTGGCACCATGCAAAGCTGTGCCACTGAGACCCCGCCCTGCGGTTCTGTACTTGCTGTCAGCTCACTGCACTTTGTCCTCACACACAAATAAAATCCAATGACTCTGGGCTGGTGGCTGACAGCATTCCAGACACTCCCTGCTGCTGCAAGATGAAGAGGTTATATTCCCAAAACACTTGGAGACCAAGAGCACAAAGCTGTGCATGGAGATTAGAGATGGGACTGTTACAGAAAGCATTTACTATCCTTGACTAGTAGTGATGGGGTACAAAACCAGTGGATAAGGAAGAAACACAGCTTGGAAGTTTCCTGAAGATCATGGTAAATATTTGGGCTGTTTGGGAAAGACTTTGGAAAGGAGAGGGGATTATGGGTTTGCAATCCAGGTAATGTGTTCCATGAGAAGATAAGTATGATTACATAAACACAAATGTCTTGATGATGTAAGGGAACTTTCTTTAATAAAATTGCTAGTAACACCATGCTGGGTGGTTTAAAAGGATACATTTCCAAAGCAATTTCAAACAGATTTGTATTTAACCAAGCAAGCAGTACACAGTCAATCTAACAGGAATCCTGATCATTACAAATAACAAGTCATCAAATTTTCAGGAGGACAGTTCCTAAATGCATGTTAGTAGAAAATCTCATAAGAATTGATTTGAAGGTTACAGCATTTTTTGTTTGTGTCCTGTACAAACAGGAGCACATTAAGGGAAAGGCCATTCATTTTCCACCTGAATCCAGATTCACACTGGGTTCTACTGCCTGATAGATGCAGCTAAAATATATGAAAGGCCCTTGTGTTTGGAAAATACTGAAACTGGCCCCATGCAGCCTCTCAATGACTTTGGTTGACTTTGATTACATTTTCACAGTAAACATGGGAAAAAAAAGTTTTGCAGCATAAAGCTATTTTCAAAAAAATGGTGGAAATCTAGGTGTAAATTATGCCAAGCTTTTTAATTATGGATATATTGTGTGTATATATTGGAAAAAATTGGGTTATGTGGTTTTAAAAACACATCAATACACTTGTGCAGGGTGCTTAAGGGGACTTTAACAGATCTTACAGTTTAGCTAAAAATGCCAAAGTGAGATAAAATGCAACCAAAAGTCACCAGTAATCAAGTTATCAATACATGTGAAATAAACCTGTGGAATTCTTTTCCATAAAGCAATCTAATTTTTTTCCATTTTCTCTTACAGGTGATATAGAATGGATTACAGATGTCCCACCCAATGTGCATCTGAAATTACAAGAATTTGTATTCCCTGAACACTTGAATTATGTAGAGCTGGTAACTGATTCTCGATCTAGCAATGCAACTGTGAGGACTAGAAGGGCACTGGATGTTGAGGCTCTTGAGGTATTATTTTACTGCATATAAAGCCTAGAGAGAAAATTTTTCTTGACAAGTGAGAAAGAAATAGCATTAAGATAATGCATTTTAATTGTTCATTCTCTCACAGTATAGGTTGGTATTTCAAAAAAGTGATTTGTCTGAATAGAATTCAGTATCTAGCTCTCACTAATGTCTGTTAAATATCTTCAGTTTCCTATAACTAAAATTTCCTGTCATCTGACAACTAGACAGGTTCTTTCCTAGTCGTGTGTTGTACTGAGAGCTGTAAACATGCATTATGACAGGTGCCACTTGCCTTACAACTCACCTCTCAGAAGCATGAGTTATTTCCTCAAAGTGAGATTGAGCAGATGTTACTTGGTAGAAGGTAATCCTGAATCATAAGCATTTCACTCCCTAATGGATTTATGGGCCTCTGTTGCTTGATGTACAAGGGGATAGATCCTTCTTCCTAGGCAGTTCTTACTCTGGAGGATCACCAGGAATTTAGAAAGCAATATCAGTGTTTTGCCTGGCTGAAGTGGCTTTTGAATAGGAAAATGTTGTAGTACTGCAGAGTAAATACAGACAATTCATTATACAAGTGCTATTTCAGAGTAGCACTGAATTTCTGATGGACACGGCCATCTTAGAGAAGCACTGTACCTGACAGATCTGGACCAGGCATATTATAAAAAACACTGTTGCAATCAGTGTTTGTAATGAAAAATCCAGTGTTTGGATGAAAATGTACTTTTGACTTTTTTTTTTTTTTTAATTTTACATTTCCATTTCTCATTTGGATATTTTCCAAATGGATTAAAACACTTTTTATGCTTCTTGCACATGTTCTCCTGTATTCTCTGTCAATTTTTTCTGGGGGAGAGTACTCAGGTAAAGAGGGATGGTGGGGGCTGGGTAGGTGGGTATCAGTAGTAGAGGTATATATCTCAAATAAACCTTGTAATATAGAGCAAAATAATTACAAAGTGTTAATTTCAAGTAGAGTGTTTTGGTACAGCACACCTGAGGATTCAACTACTACAAGTAATTTTGTATACTTTTGGCAAAAATTATCTGTGATAATCATATTATTAGTTCATCAGTTATATTATTTATTGGTTTGTTTGTTCAATTTTAGGGTGATATAATCTGGTATTCTGTAGTTTGCCAAAGGATTGGAGCAGTGAGTATAAACCATGCTTTATCAACTGTATTTATTGTCTAATTTAATGCAAATTATTATTTTCTGCAATACTATTTAATTGAAAGCTATGATGCAAGGAGTTCAGAGTACCTTGTAGAAGATAACCTGTTGAAGTCTGCTGATTGAAAGGAGTGTTTTTGTTCACAGAAAACTAAGGTAAACTTGAAAAAGTTAACTTTAGGAATGGTAAACTAATTCTAAACGGTAGTTTAATGAAAGGGTATCTCTTTGAGGATCTCATTTTAGATAAAATTAAATGTTAGCAGAATGCTGCCACCTCACTGTTGTCATTTCTTCCATTACCAAGACTGTCGAGATAGAGAATGGACGGAATGTAGAATTGATAGATGTAAACGACAATGCTCCAGAATTTCAGCAAGCTAATTATAGTGCTTCAGTATCAGAGGTGAGTTATGGCAAATGCTGATATTTTTTTCCTGGGATATTTTTAAATTACTTTTTGGGGAGCTTCTAATGTGACCATGCTGAGATTAGTTCCTCATGTGCACCCTTATGGGACTTATCTGCCCTACCTTGTGGGTGTGGAAAGGAAAGGCTGGGCTGCACATACCACTGGGGGAGTGGGGTGATGGAGAAAGCCAAAAATGGCAACAGGAAGTGATTTGCTAAGCAGGTGGCACAACTTTCCTGCCCCAAGTTGGGAAGGATGTGGATGGGAGCTTGTGACTGAGTATTTGATGATTTCTATTTCCTGTTAGGTAGCTGGAATTAATTCCACAGTTATAAAAGTGGAAGCTGAGGATAAGGACTTTTCACCAGAATTCAGCATCCTTACTTACAGTCTTTGGGTGAGTGACATTTGTTAGCTGGGAACTGTGAACACCAGTTTGAATTTTATAGTTCCATAGTCTGGGACTTGATCCCAGCTTGCTCCCTGGCACTGTGAAGACTAATAATCTGCAAAACATCCAAGAGACCTTTCAAACAATAACACAGGATCAGCCTGGCATGCAGTGAGGCCTGAATCTTGTTTCTTAACATTTGTGGAATGATTTATGGCACTCTTCAGCTGCAGCTAAGGAACTCAGTGGTCCTTTGCAGTAGCAGGAGGGAGAGCTGTTTCCCCTCTTTTTAAAGTTTATACTTGATTTGCTGTCGGTCTTCAGTCCTCAAGCCAACTGAAGTAAGATCATCTCAACTAAATGTAGATATCTGCAGTGGAAATCTTCACATCTGACCTTGTCTCTGCTCCTTTTTTAGCTGGTGAAAGGAAGCTGATACCATTCCCTGGTGTGCCATAGGATAAGATAATTCAGATATAAATTCTATTGGCACTGACAGGGGAGGCACATATGGAGGAGAATCAACCTTTTTCTTTCCATTGGTGGTGGTTGAGACATTCCTGCACCTTTATAGTGCAATAGTAAAGATGAAAAAAGAGAAAAGAAAATGTATTTCATCATCAATCATATAAAATATCTGATTTATTCATTTAATAGGGCCCAAACTCTGATTACTTTTCTATAAGGGAAGGAGATGGAAACATCATGGTGAAAAAACCACTGGATTACAATGAGGTCAACTTTTTCAATTTAACAGTCCAAGCAAAGGTATGACACAAAAGAATGAGACCTGCAACAGTTCTACAATGATAGTTCCTTTGTTTTATAGCATCCCAGTTTCTACAAATTTACAGCTTTGGGAGTTCCCAAGCCAAATGTTGTGTCTGCAACTTGGTTTATACTGGAGACAAAGTAGCATATTCTTAGTATTTCAGCCATTGTTTCCTCTCAAATACCAGCCCAAGTTTCTTTCTGTATTTCTCTAAGTATAAATACTGTACATATTCATTCTCCAGTGCTGTAACACATATTCACCTATTTATTCTGTCAGATCTCTCAAATTTTTGCTGCATCTTACCAGGATTTTTGTTTGTCTTTTTTGAGATTTGAGTATGTATTTGCCTTCATTTCCTTTTAGAACTAAAAAGAAATAGTTTTGCTAGGATTATTGTGGTACCTAGAAAATAGTACAGTGTTCTATTCTGTAGTCTACGTACAGCATAAAAAATGAGAAGCTAAAGAAAGATTACCTCTTGATAGTTTTCTTCCTAGAACTGGATTCCAGAAATAGAAAAATCTGACAGGCAGAGTTTTCAGGTTAAAAATGCAGCAAAATATATGTAATAATATTTTGCTGTATTTTCCACTGAGATATGGGTCTTTTTCACAACAGTGGTTCTTATTTTCTTTTCCCTTGGTATGCAGGAAAAATTTGGAAACCAGAGTGCCACTGCATCATTAATAATTAATGTGGAAGATTATGATACCTTGAACCCCTATTTCAGTCAATCTGTGTACCATGGGAATATCAGTGAAAACCAGGTAAAAGCTCTTCTCTGAATGCTGCTGTTACCAGATAAACAGGCCATGTATTAGATGAAGCATTAAATTTTCTGTGATAGAAACATGTCATTTTGTATTTTGGGGGAAAAATTTAAAAAAATAAGAAAGAAAAGGGAAAAAGCCTCCCAAATTACTGTTTTAACAGGGCTTTTAATATAAAATTCAAAGGGTAACTGGCTGTCCATCAGTCCTGAAATAAGTTTTAATTAGTGTAATTCCTTCATACAGCATCACAATCAGGTAAGCAAAAATAAGGATCTGAATGGCAAGCCATGGTCTATATTAATTTAGTAACTTTTTTTTTATATATATAGATATTTCTTGATGGAATGTATTTGTTTGACTCAGATTTCTGTATGTATTCTGAAAAAAGCCCCAGTATAGTATTATCAGAGTAACCCACTGAAATTAAAAAGGTTCATTATTATCCCTATTTCTATGTCATTATCTTCCTGTTAATGTATTTTAAATCATAGATACTTTGAGAGTTACACCTCCAGTGTTCCTTTTGTTAGAAGCTCATCTTTAATTCTCTGAAAGGAACAGTTTTAGCCCTTCTAAAATGTTTTTATCTTTTAAATTACTGTTTTTATATGGGCTGGAGAATAGACTTGTGTGTTGTTTTCCAGGAGAGGAATGGAACTAAAATAGTCAATGTTCTCTACATAAATTCCATCTGTGACTGCCACTTCATAATCTGGTGTTTCTTAAACACAGTGTATCCATCAAGTATCTTGGTTATCATTCTCCACTGTAAATCACATATGGCAAAGAAAGAAATTTTTTCTGGATCACATTGATTAAATACATGTTTCTTGTTTATTTAATCAAAACTTTGACTTATCTAAGGAAATATTTGAAGTTAATGTGTGTTTTTTCCAAGATATTCAGGTTAACGTATATTTTCTAGGTGGGTCCTCTGTCTACTGTCCCAAAGGTCTTGGCTCAAGATGGAGACAAAGGTATAAATGAAAAGATAATTTACAGCATCAAGCTAGGTAAGAGCCTTTATTTTCTTCTAGACATTGACACAGTAATTCAGGATGATTCATTTGCCTATTACTGGAGGGAATGATAAGGAAGTGCAGGGTCCATTCAGATGCCTTGAAGTGCCCACAGCTTCACTGCAGAGCTGCTCCATGAGCTAAATCAGCCTGATCTTAGTCATTATTGTGGGGTCCAGCTGCTTCTAAAATGCTTGATTTTTCATACCCTCCTTACAAGGAACAAAAATCAATTCCTGATTTCAAGTGTAAGCCACTCTAGAGGCTTCAGTTTTATCAAAGAATTTACATTCAGGACCATCTAGAGAGAGAATTCCATCAGGAGCTGTTCCTCCTCCTGAAGAAATTGCCAGAAGTTTATAAAATGCTTAATTTGAGACCCTTGAAGTGTGAGTGTATTTTCTAGGAGTTGTTTTGAGGACAGAGTGTTTGAAAAACAGACTTTCATGTTCCTTTTTCCTGTGGCTGAGAAGTTAACACCGAGAAGTTAACAAAGCACAGACCAGACTTCCAGTTCTGGTTCATTCTCATTGACCCTTCCCAATTTGTTGCTTTTCAGTGAACCCCCCAGCCTATAACAACAGCTTTTCAATCAATGACGCTGGAGTGTTGGAAGTCAAGACCTCAATTGACAGAGAAATATGCCCAAACCTTGTGGTGGGCATTCAGGTAGAGATTGTTTTTGTATTTTAGTCTCAATTTCAGAAAATAATATGTAAATCCAAGTTACTGTTAATAGCATTTCTCTAGTCATTGGTATCAAGGCTCCATCCTACCATTCAAAACTCAAAATAAAGGAAAATGTAATTAATTATAAATATGCAGTTGTCACGTCCTTGTGTTAAGCTTGTTGTTATCAAGGCATGGAATTTACAGCTGTAAGCTCTATTTTCTAGGCAGCTCAGAAAGACAAGATTTTCAAAACAGCTGATGCAGTAGTTCTGGTGACTATTGGAGATGAAAATGATAATTATCCAGTGCTGTCACAAGCAAGTTATGATGTCTTACTTCCAGAAAATTTCCCAAATGGGTTGGAAGTTCTTCAAATAACAGCTACTGACAAAGACGAGGTAAAAAGATGATGGTTTTATGGCTGCTACAAGTACTGCACTTCTGAAATATAATGTAAAATGCATTTGTGTCATATGGCTATTGTGAATAGATTTTTTTTTTTCTGACTGCCTAAATATGCTTAAACAAAGCAAACTTAGTTTCCCTTCTTTAAGGGGTAGAGTACTGCAGACAAAGAATAAATTTTGTCTCTCTTTGGAGCTCCTCTGGCTTGCATAAGGTCCCAAATCTGGAAGTGCAGAAATGCAAAATGAACACAAAGAACATTCTCAGCCTGCATGTTATTTCTTCCATGTTGTTTGCTTCTCTCTTTTTTTAAAATTTTGTTTTTTCGGAACTGTAATCTCAATTAAACCAGGAGATTTCATCCTTTCCATGTGGAAAACAAGGAGAAAGTATCCTAAGGGAGTAGTTCAGTGATTGCCCTATTTAATGACAAACATGTTTCCTGTTTGCAGGGAGGCTTCCAGGGAACACTCAGTCTCACTCCAGATGACAGTCCCTTCCAGCTGAGTCCAGCTGGAATCCTAACTGTGAGGAACTCCACGCTGCTGGACAGGGAGAGAGTACCCTCTATTCACCTACAGGTATTAAAAACAAGCCTGCTTCTCTCCAAGGTAACCTGAGGCCAACAGGTGAGACCTGATCTGTCCTGGCAGGAGGCCGAACCTTGAGTAGGGACAGCAGCTTAATTGAAGAAACAAACCCAGAGTTTGAGAGCAATGTTATCTGGAGGGAAATACCACTGCTGATACAATTTCCTCAGCTTGTAATTCTCATTTAACCTTTTTTCTACCTCCAAAACACTCCTTTGAACAACACAGTCTTCTCACTGCATCGTTTTTGCAGGTCACTGCTAGAGATCATTTGCCACCTCACCAAACAGTGAACTCTTCTATCAACATAATGCTGCTGGATGAAAATGACAACAGCCCAACCTTTAGAGACACACCATACAGACAAGATATTTTCCTCAATATGACTGCAGGAATGGCCATTCTTCAGGTTCTAGAAATACTGAGCAAAAATGACATTTTTGAGTGGAATGCATGCATGAGTCCTTGCTTAAACTTGTGAAGCAGTTTTGTTGAGTAGGGAATCTTTTTGGAACAGCTCTGAGCTCAGAAACAATCCACTTTTGATTTCAGAGCTATTGATATTTCATAATCACAATGTCCTGATTATTTTAATCACATCCAAGATCAGAGAATAAATTATAAAGGATTTTTATTCTGTTACTGTGCACCAGCCTCAATTCCACAAATATATGACAGAAAATAAGATTCTTGAATTTAGTTGTTGTAAAGTGTTTAATAAAAACTGAATGTTGTTAGAGTCCAGGAGCTCAAATAAGGGCACAGCATTTTTGAAAGGCTGCTGAATGCTGGAGCATTGGGGATAATTTTTAGATCCAATATACTTTCTCTAACATAGTAAAACAATTAACCAAATAAAACAGGAAATAGGAGTTGAGATCTGTAGGGAGTCACTATCAATTCTCACACCCAAATGTGCAGATTTCATGGCACCTGATGAAACCACTTGAACAGTCTGCCTCCAGTACTTTTGGAATTGTTATGAAACCAATTCTCTGAGATACAAACCTGGTGTAATTCACATGAGTTCCACAGGAGTAGGATTTTGCTTGTGCTGCTGGAATGATATCATGTGTGTGCATCTAAGAGCAAACTTTGTTACTGAGGTTTAACACAAGAATTACATAGGAAGTGGGCAGTCAAAGGTACAACCAAATTTAACTGCAGCAATATTGACCTGATTTTCCTGTGCATCTAAAATGGGAGAAAATTTGATGAAAGCACAAAACCTAGAGTAAAACAAATTTTTTTCCTCCAGGTTGCTGCTGCTGATCCAGATGATGGTATAAATGGAGAGATAAGCTTCATCTTAGCTGGTGGCAATGAAGATGGACACTTTGAATTGGACACATCCACAGGAAAAATCAGTTTAAGAACAGTAATCCCATTACAAATCAACCAGCTTAAGAAGTTTGTCTTGTGGATAACAGCTACTGATGGTAAGACAGGATTTAGTACTGGTCAACACAGCTAATCCTGATGATGAGTTTTGGTTTTGATTTTTTACTTGAAGGAATGCTGTCAAAATAGGTTCACAGGCTTTGTTTGAATAATACCATATATTTTATCTGCTCTTGTCCATTGAAGATAAGAAACTGTCTTATTTATCCAAAATAATTGATGCATCTCTGGTAAAACTGTTCCTGCTGATGGCATTATAGGAAATCTGTTTTCTTCATGGCTGTGGGAAGAACATGTGAAATAGCATATATATATATATATAATTGTAATTTATTTATATTTGTATTATATATATAATCACATCTTCCTTTAACTTACTGACTGGTGTTGCACAGCACAGGAAACAAAAATTCAGGCAGAAATTAGAAATTTATAGCTCTTTTATCAGTCAATAAAAGGAAAGTTAAATGTACTGAGTAATTTGGTCATTATTTGCACATCCATGTGGGTAAACTGGAGATGCCAAGTCCATTTTTAGGATGACCAACACAAACATCATTTCATTATCCATAATTATTGGGGGTTTCTTTGTTTTAAAAGAATAACAGAGAACTCGGTGAACATTCAAGACCTGAATAATGGCAGAAATAAATGTAACCTAGGAATGTCATCCCACTCCTGCTATAATGAGAATACAAAGTGGTTTTCAGCCTTGTGATTTTTTCATGATTTGGTCAATATGAGCTCTGTGTCTTCAAATTTAGGGTCACTTGGATAAAATGGGTCTTGTGGGGAATATGGATACAAAAGGGATTGCTCAGTCCATCCTTTGTCTGTGGTCTTGGTGAGGACCTCTAAGGCAATACCACAACAGCAGCACCAAGGATTAAATATTTTAAAAAAGGCAGTACCCATAGAAAAGTGTCTTTTTGTGGGGGTCAGTAGGTATTTTGTGCATCTGCTGAGAAATTGTTTCCTTTTGCTTGCAGGTGGGACCATTCCAAGAAGTTCATCAGTGCCAGTAGAAATCTTTGCAGTTGGAGATTCCAGGCCACAGTTTATTCAGAAAACATACAATGTGTCTGTGAAAGAAGAGCTGGTTCCTCCTGTTGAAGTAGCACAAGTAAGAAGAATTCTACCTCTATATAGGACAGGGCAGCTCTAAGAAAATCCTAATTTTGTAATAGATGTTCTTTAAATATGCAAATCTCCCTGAGTGATGGAGAACTACATACTAATACTGTGTGTTCTACATATCAAGCTTCACATGCAGTACATCCCTCAGATGAAACTTATTACCCACAAAGGTGGGTTTGCTTCCAGTTAAACGTTTGCAAATATTTAAATAGCATCTGCTACTATTTAGCATTTTTTAAAACTCCCCAAAAAACCCAGATCAGGCCTCCAAATCAAATTAACCTCTGAACTGCTTGAGAAAGTAAACAGTTTGTTGACTTTGGACACCATTCAAAGGGTTTAGTGGCTCAAAGCTTAGGATAGGCAATATTCCCTCATCTTCTGGTGACAAATCTTAAACCCTGTGAGATGACATGAGAATTCCCATCAGAGGAATGTCATAAAGGCATTTTCAAAGAACACTCTAGAACTTGCTCTTCATTTTGATCCAAAAAAATGCTCAAACAAGCAGAGCACTGGAATGCACCATGATAGTGCCTTCTTGGATGAAGGTCTGAACACAGATGGGAGGTTTCATATCAAAGCACCGAGAAGGTAATGTGTTTTAGTGTTTTGATTTATAGACATCTTGAGTTAATTTCCCCCTTTTTTTCATGTAAAGAAACACAGAACCAAAGGTTGAAGTGCAGTCTGTTATTTTTATTCTGTGCTATATATATTCACATCTTAATAAAAGGCAGTCCTCTCTGCATTTTTGTGTATATTGAGGCTTGATCTTTACTTTTTTAAAAGAATCTGGGAAGTTAACATGTATCTGAATGAAAACTTATTAAAAGAAGTAAAAATGAGGACACAGTATCAACTGTAAGTTGATATGAATCCACAGTATCAACCATAAAATGAGTCTGGACATAGTTAAAACCACTATTATTTTTCAGACAGTGGTTTATGTGTTTTAATTCATTTATTGATGATATGCTGTATGATGGTATGATGATATGATGTATCTTACACAGGTTGAGTATAAGGCTTTAAATCCCCACATACCAGTTGAGTTTCGGGTGTTGACGGAATCTGCTTTATTCGCCATCGATGGCAAAGGAGTTATCTCAACAAAAAAAAAACTGGACTATGAATCCCAGAAAAATTACACTCTCAATATCTCCTTGTCAGATGGAAGCACTGCTGACTATGCCATGGTGTTTATCAGAGTTACAGATGTCAATGATAACAGCCCTGTGTTTGGTACAACCAGCACCACCATTGCCATTGCGGAGAACATGCCAGTGGGAACCAATGTCACTGGCGTGTCAGCCACAGACATGGATGAAGGATTTAATGGATTAGTGGTTTACAGCCTGAAGGGTGGAGAAGGAACAATGGATATTGACAGCTCAGGATTCATTTTCCTGCAAAAAGTGCTGGACAGAGAAGAACAAGGCTTCTATAACTTAACTGTGATTGCCAGTGACCAAGGTCAACCCATGCGATCTACAGCGCTCAACCTGACCATCATCATTGATGACGTGAACGACAACCCCCCGGTCTTCTCATCGAGCAGGTATGAAGTGAAGGTCCCTGAAGACCAGGAGCTGGGAAGTGCCCTGCTGACACTGGCTGCTACAGACTTGGATGCTGGGGCCAACGCCTTTGTGATGTACCGAATCACCGACCAGCGACCTCAAACCTCCTCCCCGGTGTTCCTTGTCAACTCAAGCACAGGCCAGTTCAGCCTGAGCCAGCAGCTGGATTATGAAACCATAAATAAATTTGAAGTGCAAGTGGAGGCATCAGATGGAGGTCAACCAAGTCTGAGCACTGAAACACTCGTAGTTGTTTGTGTAGAAGATGTCAATGATAACCCACCAGAATTCAGTCAGGCAGCTTATGATGTATTTGTGTTTGAAAACCATCTGACGGGGAGTCCTGTCTATACATTCAGTGTTGCTGACAGGGACGAGGTAGGTACTGCATTAATCTCATCCTGATAAATCAAAATGACATGT